TATAAATCAGAGGTGAAAATCCATATAGTGATAATTCATTAATTATATTAATCTAATAAAGCATCAATTTCATTAAACAAAATTAACTCAATTTATTTAATGTGATGAGTATTTTGACTTTTTCTTGTGGTCTCTCTTGCTCTACATTTTCTGAAGCCTTTTTTTTTCAGATTCTTTGTTTCATACAAAGATGTTAAGATTAGACCACTTTACTAAGCAATTAAACAAATACATATTTTAATATACGGGGAGCCCTGTTTTACACACATATGACTTTGTCCTTTTTCCACTGTCTTAGCAAGAGTGTTTGTCTTGGAAAGAGTGAGTCTAACACCTCCATTTATGAAATGAATTCCATAGTAATAATGAGTGGAGCCCAGTTTTATCTTACTGTGGCTATTGTTACAGGGGAGAAAAATTTCCAGTTGAGGATGAGCAGCTTTGTTTTTTGATCTCATGCAAGCCTTTCTATTACCAAAAGGAGCTCCAAGGTAATTATTATATCTACCTTTTCACTGTGTAAGTGTGAACAATAAGAATATAAGCATTTAGCCCTGGCTGGTGTAGCTCAGGGGATTGAGTACAAGCCTGCAAACCAAAGGGTTGCTGGTTTGATTCCCAGGCAGGGCACATGCCTGGGTGTGGGTCAGGTCTCCAGTGGGCGGCGCGTGAGAGGCAACCACACATTGATATTGTTCTGCCTTTCTTTCTTCTTCCCTTCCCCTCTCTCTAAAAGAAAAAAATAAATGAAATCGTGTTTTAAAAATGAATCTAAGCATTTGTACCTTTATATTTCCAAAAGATATTATTTTTAATTTTTCATTTAGTTTCTGTAATGTTTAGAAGAAATATTTCTAATCTGTTACAATATCATTGCTGGCATAAGAGTGAACTTAGAATTATCAGGCCATTTGGAACTGGGACTCAACTACAAAAAAAATTATATGCAAAATAAAGATCCAAACTCAAACTCTTATTAACTGAGAAAAAATCACCATGTTTTATAATATTTATTTTTTAAACTTATTTATCAAGAGATGAAAAATAAATTCAGGCAAAAAAAAAAGAGCCGTACATGTCAGTCCACAACCACGTGGGAAAGCTCATACGCAGCGCCTCGCTACTTAATAGTCTCATTGGGCTATCTGTAGGACACAGCCTCTCTAGGTTTGAGCTCATGTCTGGCCACCTATTGGCCAAATGGTCTCGAGCAAGCCACACTCCGTTTTTTTAAGGTTTATTTTATCCTCATTCAAGAGAGATGAGAGGGCAGAGAGAAGGAAACATTGATGTGAAAGAAAAACACGGAGCGGCCGCCTCCTGCACATGCCCCAACTCAGTCCTCAACCGATGTGCAGGAGGCGGCCACTCCGTGTTTTTCTTTCACATCATGTTTCTTTCTCTCTGCCTCAACCGAGGATCGAGTCCATGACCCCGACGTGCACCCTGATGGAACTGAACTGGCAACCCTTCAGTAACAGCCAGGGCAAGCCGCCCTCCTTTTCCCAAGCATGTTTCATCACCTCCAAAGTAGGGATCTAATAATCTCTATTCTATTTCCTTTAATAAATAAACAAGTTTATACAAACCTTGTAAACTGTAAAATACGTAAACATTTGGAGATATTTTTCTTTATATTTCAGAAAAAAATAATCTGAGAGGGCAAAGAAAGCAAGGAAATTAACTAGAAGATTCGGATTTTAGTGTGGAAGGGGAGTAATGGAATTATAGATTAAAATGGCAATAAGACTGGCTAGCTGAAATTTGTTTCTTAATGAAGGAAAATGTTGATGATTCGGTGGGGAGATAGAGGAAATAAGGGCGGAAAAGGGATGGGTGACTCCACTGTCAGCAGGACTAGAACTGCTACAATGCTAGGGCGGATGGTAATAGGACGGGGGGCAAGATGTTCTCTTCTGGACTTGATGACATTAGAAGAGGAGTCAAGCTACTTAAACTAAGAACGCTGTGCCCACCGTCTTGCACCTGGGGAGGAAACACAGGACAGATGCCGGCAAGAACGGCAGAAAGCAGGTGCCCACGCTCCAGGTGCTTGATTCATCCTGCCTGTGAACAGACGACTTTGGGGCTGACCTTGTTCTAATTGCCCTTTGTTACTTGCCACCCAAAACATCCTATCCAAGATAGAGTTTAAAAGTTGAAAGAAACAAAAACATAAAATAATCATGGTAAAAGAGCTAAAATGATTGTAGGTATTTTTACTCAGTGTATATTTCCTTGTGTTTGAGAACTGTCTTTAAATACCTTAATTGCTTTTTTTAACTTCAAATTTCATTCCTTTGGAGATCCAAAAAGATAAATTATTTGTAGAGTAATAGCAGCAGTGGAAAAAAACAAAAGATAATAAATTTACTTGTAATTTCAATGAGAAGATTACTGATGTGTTTTTAAGTGTAATATAAGATTTATAGGTATAAAAACATTATTTAGCTCAGGATGCATTTATTTTGCCTTTAAGCATAATCACAAACTACTGTAGTTTTAGATAAGAATTGTTAAAAAAAAGATATCTTATTTTTATGACAATTGATCTACTTTCATAAATCCTACATGAAATCAAAATATATGGAGATGGCTTAGACCATAACCTCCTATAGTGATGATCTTATATCTCAGCTCCTCTGTTCAACAGAGAAACTTTAAAAGGAGATTTTCCCAGGGCTCTTCAATATTAATTTAATTGATAAAAATTCAACTTACAATTCTTCCCAAGAGAACTACAATAAATGAAGTGAGTTATATTTCATCTGTGATTTATCAGTAAATCACACCGTGCTCCTTCCTGAAGTTTTTGTCTGTATATGACACACGATTTTTAAAAGATGACTGCTAACTACTGAGCATAAGCATAATAGCAGGCATTTACCACCATGCTTGTGCTGTGCCAGAGAGAGCTCTCAAAACAAGAACTATTATTATTACCACTCTCCAGATGAGAACACTGAAACAGATTGCAAAGGTAACTTGCCAACAGTTAAGAGTTTGGAAACAGAACATACGATGCGTACATCCAGGCACTCTGACTCCAGAGCCCACACACATCACTAAACCCTACAGTAGTACTTCAGGTGGAAATAAAATAGGCGTATGTAGTGTAAGTGCCTGACAATAAGCTTTTTTATTGCGGTGTAAGTGCATGACATTAAGCTTTGGATTGCTGAGGCATCCATTTCAAAGACATCCATCTCGAATAAACACTGCCAGCTACGTGACCCAGCTACTAGCTAGACAACTGCGTAGGAAGCCAGGGCTCACCCACCCATTAAGTTTCCCTTTGGGGCAACCTGGAGAACTCACTGCCTGAGTAACACTGCATTTCCCTGACTGCGCGCGACTTCCCAGGAAAACCCAGGCACCCCGCCCTTGCCCGTAACAAAGGCAGACGCCCAAGTCTGCACACCCTCTTTTTCTCTCCCTGGTGGTTGTTACTGAGGTGCATCTTGCAATTGTAAAAAGAACCACAAGGGCCAGTCCAGCCATGACATTGGCTCCAGGTGGCGACATGTCTCTGGGGGCAGCCACAGCAGTAATAGGCCCAGGTGAGGGCCTCCTAGCCAATAGCATCACTATCCGTAGGCTGAGACCCAACACAGAAGAGTATATCATACCTTTTCTTATGATTTTAGGCATTTAAACACTTATTTTTAAGTAGGTTGTGATACCTGGAAACGTTCATAAATAATGTATTTAGAAATTCTTCAATACCTGAAAATCAGAGGCACAAGTCTTTTTCTGGCCGGGGCTCCCTATACCTATACTGGTCTGAAGGCATTGGGTGGTCTCCATAACCGTAATTAGCTGACCATTTGGAGTGATGAAACCAAATGGTATCACCACTTTCCCCAAAGTCATCAGAGAGATAGAGAGGAAGAGCCTGTATCTGCTGCTTCTTTAGAGCTTTAAAAGAAGTAGCTAAACTTCGGTCTAGTGTCCTCGAACCCAAGTTCTCCTTGTCTTCCCCATCTCTGAACTTCCTCCTTCCAGCAGCCGCCCAGAAATTTTGTTCACTTTGCTTTTGTTTTATTTTTCTTCCTCTTGAGGGTTAGACGTACACAGATGATCTGAAAGGTGATTCTTACTCCAAATCTTCCTACTGATAGATCTGATACTCTCCTGCTATAATTAAACCTCACTCACTTAAGAACACAGTGTTTTGGAGTTCAACCTCCTACTATCTGGATGCCCTATTTATCTTTGCTGTGACTCACCTTCTTCCCTTTAAAATCACCTGCTTTGGAACAGTTGCTGGAGGGATCAAATGAGATTATCTACTATATGGTTGGCCAATGTCTGATGCATGATAAACCACAATGACTACTATTTTTAGTACTGGAAAATAATTCTGTAAAGTTTTCTTGCTCTGGATTCAGACATCACTTGTTTTATCTTGTGTTGTTTCCTTCAACTTAATTTGTAACATGTATATAAACATTAACTTGTAATATGTAGCACTTTAACATAATACAGCCTTTTATAAAACATTTCTAGTGTCTCAGCTGCAGTCACATTGGTGTTTGGTTATTTCCCCTAGTACAGCAATGGTTTTCCACCTAGATTTCATAATTCAGTCATCTGAATGTCTGTTCTGTTTAACTCTCCCTTATAAACCTGCCTACACTTTTTTCAGCCCACTAGGAATCCAGAATATATTTGTTATTAAGTGAGACTCACTTGATTTTCTCTACATGCTGCCTTAATTTTATAGTGTAGATCCTCAACTTTTTGGGGGGGTGGAGGAAATGCATTCTTGAATGTGAAAGAAGAAAAATTAACCTTCTATTCCAGCTTCCTTTCTTATTCTTAGCTGAAAAAAAGTCAACTAACTAACTAAGTAATGAAAATTCTAATCACATATTTAACATACCTGTCCCCCTAAAAATGCATTATAAATACATACAATTCACACAGAATTTCTCCAAAATCTTTATTCAACAGAAATCTACATAACAACCTTCAAAGTAGAATCTAGGAGACACATTGTTAAAGTACTCTGGTTTCATTTATTAGTGTCATGATGCTATTAAAAAATAAAACAAAACTGAAATTACTAGTGACATTTTCCAAACAGTAGGGTGTTTCCTGTCATCTCTAGCAAATGATACCAAGAAATGATACAACTTCGCCAGTTTTAATAGTCATATTGTGAAGCTAAGGACAGTGTATAAACAGTTGACTCACGGGAAAAGAGAACGCGTGAAATATCAACACAGCGCGTGTGCCATCTGGGAGGCTCCGGATCCTGTTCCCGCTGCGAGCAAGTGTGCTCGTCCGCTGGCTCTCTCCAGTCAGCGCCATATCCTGCACGTATTATCCTTGCTGCCTATTAGGACAAATGTCACGAAGTTATTTTTTCTTTTTTATTCACTTCACTCTCTCTTTACACAAGTTGACATTTTTCTGGGTCACTGTTGATTTTCAGTGTGCTAAATGTGCCCCCCTACCCACCAAGCTCCTGAGACATTCAGATCAGTTATCTGGGGAATGGGAATCTTTTTCCCTTTTTCTTTCTTTTTCTTTTCTTTTCCTTTTTTTCCTTTTCTTTTCTTTTCTTTTTTCTTTTATTTTCTTTTCATTTCTCTTCCTTCCTTCCTTCCTTCCTACTTTCCTTCCTTTCTCTCTCTCCTTCTCTCCCTCCCTCTCTCACACTGTCTCTCCCCCTCCCTCTCACGATTCTGTCAGTCCGAAAATGTACAAGTTCACGTCCTACTCACACCAGTAAGATCCATAGTAGGCTAAAATTGCAGAGGACCTGGGATTGCAACCGTGTCAGCCATCCTTCTCTGCTGTTCCCTCTGCCCTCCCCTCAAGCACCACCACCAGGTAGAAATACAGCAAACATGAACATCTCCAGGTGCCGGTGTTCGCACATGAGAAGATAATGCATTTCACTTTAGAGCAGATCCAAATGTCAATAGATGTTTCTCACCATCAGTTAAAATGTAGAACTTACATCCTTCCTACTCTCCCCACGACTATGACCCACTCTCTTCCAAAGCAACCCCTCCCCTCTGCCAGGGGTCACCTCTCACATTCCCCCTATGGAAACGACAGTCCCGGTGTGGTTTTCTCCAGAGGCCAGGTACATGCCCTCAACATGAGAAGTGAGGGCTACATGGATGAGGAAAGCCTGTGAAAACTGCACATTCCACCAAAAGCACCTTACACTTTAAAAATGTAACGACCACGCTGGCCAATTCCCTTTCAGTTTGTGCTGCTTCACCTCGCCTTAGGCAGTCCTCTAAAACATGTGCAGTGGACACTGGGGTCAGCCAAAAACAGAGAGCAGATCAATTCAAACAAAGAGAAGGCTCTGCTGTTGGCAGGACAAGCGTATCACCCCCTTTCTGATAAGCCCCAGTGCCCAGTGGGCCAGTGGCACCTTGGTGCCTGGGGATGCACTAAATCAATAAAAACGCCTTTCAAAGAGCTCAGGAACCAAAGTGCCAGCACTACAACAAGGCACAGACAAAGGAAGTTCCTCCCCGAAGCTCTCCAGGGACTTCATGAAAAGTGGCTGAGGGGGGAGGCATTGCAGAGCTGCCTCACAGAAGCACGTGGACGGGGAGGGGCTGGTCCTCTGCCAACCCGGCCAGGCTTCCTTCTCCCCTCCTTGGCGGCAGTCCCCTGCAGAGCATCCTGTGCCTTTAATCACAGCCCCCACGCTTTCCTCTTCCCGGGAACAGATTCGACATGCTGTTCACAATAAAATATATGGCTTCTGGTGCTACTCTCTTAGGAGTAGCTACATGTCAGTAACCCTCGAAAATGATAAACCCAAAGAAAGTAATCTGTAATTTTAGAATTTCTTCAGAATTGAGAAGAAAGGGGGAGGTATTTTAAGGCAAACGGGGAGATTATTTACAGCACTCCTGAAGTTGTGTGACTATGAAGCAGCCAACACACAAAGCCAAACGTGCATGTGGGACACTGCACTTATTAGATAGTTAGGCAATTTTTAAATTTACTCAGCACATCGAGAGTCACTAAGTTAGGCACACTGGGTCTTAGTGACTTCTTAGGGTGTCACGGCACCCCACTATTGCAACACCCACCCCTGCCAAGTCTCCTCCAGGGGCACTGCACTCACATTATACCACCTTCTTGTCACTTTTCTCTCCTTTCCACAATCTACACTAATCTATTCTCAATTCAGTTCTTATAAAATGTTAATATGATTAATTCACAATAAATTGTGAATGGTTAAAAAATGCTCAATATGTGTTTTCTTCTCCAAGTTTTTGCATGTTAGCAGGGGACAACAACTTACGCTTGGAAAGGAGCAAGGGAAACACAAATTAACTCAAAGAATAAATCTCTAATGAGCTAAAATCCAACTGGGAAGAACCCAGGGTCCTGACTTGTTTCAGCTCCTAACACCTAACGGACACCAGCCAAATATTAACCATCCGATGGACAGTACCTGGGGAGATGTAGTAACCAGCAAGGCAGGCTACCAAATTCTTATTTTGCGTAGAACAACTACAATTTAAAATCACAAAGCCTTCCAGCCAGTGGCAGGGCTCACTCCTGTGGTTCTGTGATGCAGCTAAAATTAAATAATGGACATAGGGCACCCCTAGATGTACATAAGCCAGGGCCCCTGGAAGAGAGGTAGGGATGGAGGTGAATTCCTTTTGCATTCAGCTTAGGGTCCCTATGCGCCACTTGAAAATGAAAGCCAAGTCTATGGTGTCTATGTCTCCCCACCTGTAATGATGATGTTGCCTTTATAGTTGAAAGCACATGAGAAGATCTCATCGGTGTGCCCCTCGAGCACCTGGAGGCACTGGCCAGTCTGAGCATCCCAGATTCTTGCTGTTTTGTCCGAGCTGCCTGTTAGAAGACGGTTCCCTTGGGGGTTGAAAGAGATCTGCAAAGAGAAAGAAAATGCTGTGACAAATTTGCAAGATGATTCCCAACACATTTTTAATCAGCAAAAACAGGACATTACTAAGCACCTGTTACCTTCCCAGCCTGGTACTTATTCTTACCCAGAACAGTTCCTTCATGATGGGAAAGATATTGCAGGGACTAATACATGCAAATTAAAATCTAGACAGAAAAATGTTATTGCTTACCCACTCACAATTCCAAGGACAAAGACAAATTCCACTTTGTTTGAGTGTTAAATATTTCCATGAAATACTTCCTCAATTGCATCTAGTTTACAGAATACTTGATACTTCTACATGACGTTTTCTTTGCACAATAAAATTTGTGTGTCCACTACAACCAGGACAAGCATTCGGTCAACTTCTTAAATACCTTTAATAAGTACTTTCTGCTCATTAAATTGTTTACTAATGACTGAGGGGAACACTGTTTATGGTTTCTGAAAAGTTTTAGAAATCACTTATTATTCTGAGTTTGAGGACATACTTAAAAATAAAGTCTTTAGGAAACTGATTTCTAGAAAGAAGGAGAGAATTGGATACACTTTAGTAGCTTGGCAATATGCCTACTTACACTGAACATGCTATCTATTTTTTGAAAGGAAACAAATTGCTCCAAATGAGAAAGGAACTCACCTTTGAAATCTCACCTTCGTGACCTTCCAATTTACTAATGCATTTTCTTGTGGCCGCACTGAAAATTCTTGCTGTTCCTTTTGGAGAGGAGTGGAGATATTCATATAAATAACTTCATCTGAAATACAGAACTTTGAACCACAAGCCTTCCATTATCTACATACCTATCCCTCTGGCACACAGCTCTCTGTTAGCTTTGCCTTCTTGCCCACATAGAGAGCCAGCCACTTGATTCTGTAAACGCAAGCTGGTCCCACTTGGGTAAGAGCTTATTGCAAGAGATCATGGGTCCCAAGGTAGAAAAGGCGAAGAGATGCCAATTCAGAATAAAAAAAAAGATTTTAAAGGAAAAAGAGGGAATGAAAACAAGACTTGGTAGGTTGGGGATATAATAGGCAGAAAGCTTAGTATCATACACCAAACATGAGCCTAAGGTTACAAGAAGGTGCAAGTGGCCCTGAGAAGGAACAGCGGCCACCACTCAATGAACAAAGAACAGGCATGAGGAAGCCCTTTTCAACAGAAAGAGCTGAGAGAATGATCTCTCCCTGCTTCCCTGTTGTATCCACAGAGCTCAGAAGTGCCACTCGATAAATAGATGCAGTGTGGGCGGGCAGATGGATAGATGGATGGATGTATAGATAAATAGAAGGAAAAGTATACATTTCTTTAGAATTGAGGAATGGAAGAGTTAAATAAGCACAGAGGACAAAAATAGCAGTAATGCAATTTTTATCAGAAAAAAAGGTAAACTCTGTCAGGCCAGGTGAAGGATACTTTCTTATTGCAAATCACAGCGTTATACACAGGTGAAATTAGCAAGGATAGGGTGGTTTGATTACTTAATTTTCTATCCGAGAAAAGCAAAATATCTTAAATTATTACTGGCCTTCCTGACAATGTCAACTCAGGAGGAAGTGGACAAAGTGATAAAAATTGCTATTTTAGAATGACTATAATAAAAAATATAAAACTTGCCATTTAGTGGGACATTTCAAAAGCCTCAAAGGCAAGGGACCAACTTGTCTGAAGAGGTTGTTAATAACACAAAAGGGAATGTTCTGCATGGAGCAATACTCTAAATTAACACCAAAGCATTTTTAACCTTCAGAAAATACAGAAATCAGATAGCATTGAAACTGTAATTTTTTTTAAAGATAGAAATATGAGTAAGACAGAAAATTAAGCTTTCAGCATAATTCCAGTGAGGAAGATAAAGGTAACACAGAGAAAGAGATGCAGATGAAGAGGTAGCTCACTACACTGATACATTCAATTTTAAGGAAGAAATGAGGAGCAAAGACCAGACATCAATAAAGAAGATTGGTATAAACACTGGTACTTCTCAGGAGGCACAGAATGAGAAGAGGTTCACAAAACACACCAAAAGAGAAAAAGAGTTTTTTTAAAGTAATAGCTAATCACACAAGAAAAGAATAGAATCACTGCTAGGAAAACTAGCAGATCAAAGGAAAACAAATCTAGAAGAATTGAACTTGTATTTCATTCTTATCCATTCTTTCGTGTCCTGATCTCCCAGTCCTGCTTGTTTCCCACCACCACCACCCACCCCGCCCCCAGCACTGACCAACTCCTACCATTCTGTATATTCTAACATTTCACATAAAACAAATATGTGGTGTTGGTCATTGTTTCCCTCTCCATGAGAAAAGGCATTTCTGTCTCTTTTGTTTACTGATATACCCCTTGTTTCTAAAACAATTCCTGGTACAAAGTAAGTATTCCATATATACATTTATTGAATGGAGTTTTTGTATAAATGAGAATGATATTTAAAATGAAAAGAGAAGATTAATTTTATAGTTAAGAGATGGTTTTTAAAGGCAAAAATCTGTTGGAAAAATGAAAAAATAAGTAGTTACTTTAAAAAAAAATTGTGCACTGCTTTCCACAGTGGCAACACCAATCTGCATTCCCACCAACAGCAAATATGGAGATACCACCAAAAATTCAACTTGGATCTGCCTTTTGACCCAGTAATCCCACTTGTGGGAATATATCTGAAGAAACCTGAAACACTAATTTGAAAGAACATGAGCACCCCTATGCTCATCGCAGCGTATTTACAATAGCCAAGATATGGAAACAGCCCAAGAGTCCATCAGTAGGTGAGTGGATAAAAACAACTATGGGGCATTTACACAATGGAATGTTACTCAATTATTTTTAAAAAGAAGGCAATGTTACCATTTGCAACAGTATAGATGGACATGGAGAATATCATACCAAGTGAAATAAGCCAGTCAGAGAACACCAATACCATATGATGTCACTCATGTGTAGAATCTAGCAAACAAACCGAACTAACAAGCAAAACAGAGAGAGGTCATAGACAGAGAGCAGGATGACAGCTCAGGTGGGTGGTTAGGGAGTAGAGGGATCAAGCAAAATGGAAAAAGGACTCATGGACACGGACAACAGTGTGATGATTGCGGGGGTGGGGGTAGAGGGGTATAAGGGGACTAATGATAATGGAAAAAATTACAACAAAAAATAAAATTGTTCGGATTCAGAGGTATTATATTTACAGGATATAAAAACAACTTATATGTATGATCAAAGAATTGCCTTTGAAAATCCTAGTAGGACAATACAATTTTAAAACAGAGACAAGGAAGAAATAAAAACTGGGTAGTTAAAATGAATCACTAGCAAAATAATATAATGGCCAATGTAGTCAACAGGGAAATGACACAGATGTGTTGCAGCATCATATGCGGTCTTCTAGAAATTGAGGCACATGTAACACCAGCCTCAATAAGATGAGATGGTTATCAATAAGATGGCATGGACACAGCATAGAATAGTAGCTAGTCATCAAGAACACAAGGTATAGCAGAGCATCATATATGTCCGTCACAAAGATTTGTTAGACATAGTGGAGCAGCACATGTGGTTATAAAGGAGACAATGCAGATTTATTATAATAGGACCATTGCCAGTGGTCAAGTTGATGAGGTTGACATTGTGTAGCATAATGCATGAACATCAGGGGGATGACCCAGAACATACCATTGTATATTGCCACCAAAGAGGTGATGAAGACCTACTATTAAATCATTTGTGGCTGTCAAGGAGGTGATGCAGACCTTGTATAACACTGCATGTGGTTATCAAGAATATGATACAGATAGAGTGAAGTAACATACATACAGAGATGAGGCAGATACAGTGTCTATCAAATCTGGTCCTCAGGAGGATGACCTATAGTGTAGAATCACACATGTTTTTCAAACAAAGCATTACTCCCTCCCCAAGTTAAATGTATGAACAGATGTCCTACCATCGGCTGAAGCGGTTGCAATAAGCTTTCCAGTGTAATCAAAACAGCAGTCTAGAATTTCATCATCATGGCCTGTTAGTGTTGCCAGGCATTTTCCACTTGCAGCATCCCACAACTGCAATTATGACAAAGCAGAAGAAGACGACGACGATGACTTCTTGTTAAAATGCAAAGATGGCCACAAGAAATCTTCATGACATTTTTATGGCTGGTTAGACACTGTGCCAAAATCATGTAGATAGTCTACACACATTCTGTTCATTTTACCTTGATTTTTGACAAGAGGCCACAGCTAATCAGCTGACAAGGCACACTTTGGGCACACAGGAGACCAAAGAAAGGCATTTAGAATGGGTGGTGCAAATGGACACTACATTAGGGGAAAAAAATCTCAAAGTGTACATTTCACTGACTGGAGTGGAAATGTGCTCTTTTCATGACAAGAATGTTGATCTAAAACTAAAATGTGAGAAAATGAAAAGTTCATTGAGGTTATAATACATTTGATATGTAATTAAATAATAATTCCAGAGTATAAGCTCTTGGTAACAGAAACTTAAAGGCAGGGACGAGAAGTGGGGAGGGGGATAACGGGGGAAAGAAGGGTCGAGTCAAGGAACAAGTACGAAGGACCCATGGACCATGGACAAGTTCAACGGGTGGGGAGGATAGAATGTGGGAGAGGGGGTGTGGGTAGGGCAGGGCAGAGTAGTGGAGTAAAAATGGGGGACAACTGTAATTGAACAACAATAAAAAGTTTTTTTAAAATAAAGGCAGGGAGACACTGTGTTGAGACTTCTTGAGCTTCACCCTAATCAATGTTTAATAAATGAAGAGAGGGACAGTAAACAAAAATAATGTGCCTTTTTAAAATAACATCTCTTAATACATTTAATCAATTAAAATTGTTTTACTACATCATAGTTCCTTTCCACTTGAGGCATCCAAAACTTGAAATTTAAAAATTACCAATTGCTATTGATAAGTTAACACCTTAAATTCATAGTGCCTTAAAAGTCGTTAATGTTGCCATGAGGGTCTGACACAGTGAACAGCACAGATGTGAGAGTCGCAAAGCAGACCCGTTACTTGAGCTCACCATGCAGGTTTTGTCCATAGAGCCGGTCAGTATCATAGAGCAGTCCCAGTTGACGACGGCACTGCTGATCTCGGCGCAATGCCCGATTAAGGTGTACACCTTCCTGCAAAGTGGAAATGACTCAGAGATGCCTTACGTCGGCGTATGTGCACAGTTTGTGATGGCAAACCCACTCAGGGAGGAGTCTAAATTCTGGTTTTCACAAAATAACGTCTTTCGTGACTAAACAAAGATGGTTTTACTGTAGCTCAAAAGGAATCAACTACTACTTTCATTTCAACACACATAGACTTAAATTTTAAACAATCAAAGATAACATTACTCAAGATAACACCGCAGGCAGGCATGGATAAAAGAATAAAGGCAGTCTGGAATTCCGGCAGTGTTCCTACACCCGACGAGGGGGCCCTCGGTGGCTCAGAAGCTGCCCCCCCCAGTGTCTGCAGGACGCCTCCTGTCTCTCATTCCTTGTTGCCCCCTCCTTGATCGGTGCCCCTGACGACAACCCCTCCCGTCCAAGTGCAGACAAGTCCATGAGTGCAGTTTAACAGCACAAAGAGGCTAATTTAGTTACCTTCTTAGCAACTAGAACCAAAAATAATTAGGAAGGAAACTGAAGTTCTCGGGCTAAATTAAATTTGGGAAATTAGCCATGATTTTATTTATTCACAATAGCCATGCCTGCCATAATCACGAGCCATTGAAATTTGATTACTAGTACAAGGGATGAATAACAGCTACATAACCAAGGTATTGCTACCATTCCCCTTTCGTGTTCCTCATTGGCATTCTTTGTTCAGAATTCTGAGAAATCACATATTTTTTTAGATCAGAAATATCATTAAAGAATGAAATACTTATTTGTGCCCTAGTCCTATGTCCCACGGAGTGCAGAGCCCAGTTAATACATTTAAGACTAAACTAATAAATAACAAAGATCTGTCTTCTTAACCCTCTGATCCGGGTTGAAAAATTCTAAAAAATTCAGAGTACCTTCCAGCCCCAGCGTCCCACACAACAACTGTGTGGTCAAAGGACCCTGTGATGATTCTGTCTCCCGTGGTGTTGAACGACAAGGAGATGATTTCAGCTGAATGTCCCTGAAAAAGGGCGGACATCGTCACTCATACTTCTAGGGAAAGCAGGTGCTACAAAGGCATAATATCAGTGCCTAAAAGAAAATGCCAGAAAAGGCAAAGCTGTGCATATGGGGGTGGGTGGGGAGATTAATGGTGGGCTGGGGTAGGAATGGCACGTGACTGCAGTTGGGCATGAAATGTCTTTTCGGGGTGACAGAAATGTTCTAAACCTAGATTTGGGGGATGCCGGCACAATTTTGTAGGTTTATTCAAAATGGACATACGCTTAAAGCAAGTTCATTTTAACTCAATGCAGCCATTTGTTTGTTTGTTTGTTTGTGTTTTAAAAGAAGAGGGCGTGTCTGGGCATTCAGAAGGCTCCTTCACAATGTCTTGGAGACACGAGAGAGGACTGTAGGCTTTATGGGCCAATAATAGGTGATGAGTAGAAGAAAAAGGTTTGTGAAGTTAATAACTTTAAAAATAGAAATTCTTATGATAATTTAACATGAATTGATGAATAAAATACCTGGCCTTTGGCCTGACTTCCCCCTGGCTAGGGTCCAGAACCGAAGACACTGAGACAGTGAGAAAGCCCCTCTCTGCAGTAGATTCTGCTTGGAGGAGAGCCTTTGTTTTTCCCATTATTTTAGCGCATTCACATAATTGCTTTTTTAAATAATACAAAAGTTCATTTACAAATTAAATTTCTGGTTTATTCCAAATAACAAAAATCAAGCGTAGCTAAACATTAAAATTCTGAACACACACACACAATGTAATCTCTGGCAGGACACAGGTGTGCTGGGTAGGGCTCATCCTTTCGAATGTTCTGGAGGAAGAAGCAGTAAAGAGGCAGCGACCCACAGAAATGATGAGAACAATGATCAGAAAGACACTTTTTTAATAACACTAGGCACACACACACAAAAAAGCCAGGCACTCTGAGTTAAGGAAGAAAAACTCTTAGTGTTAGTTAAAAACACTTTTTTTTCCTCTCTTGTTTCAGCCATTTCTTAGTCATTGTAGTCATTTTTTAACTTTCTTAGAAAAAGCTCTCCTAGAAAAGAGTTTAACTCCTTTATAATTTGAAAAAATAAGAAAACTGGATTTCCTATCCAGCTGTCCCTGCTTATTGCCACAGAGAACTGCTCTATGTTTGTTGGGTGGTTTGGGATGGGGAGGAAAAAAGAAAGTAGCTGGTCATTGGAAAGTGCTAGACTCGTGGCGGGGACAGGCAGGGGCCCCAGTGGAGACACAGCACCAGCATTCACCCTGGGACAGTGCCCTTGGGCCTGTTCCTCTCCCGCCACTTGCCCCTTGTCCTTTCAGAGTTTGTGTAATACAGAAGCTGGAGGGTAGGGGAGCAGAGAACCAACAGGCATCCCCTTGAGGAATTTTCCAGCAAGGTTCCCCAGTTCTGTCTTTTCCTAAAAGTGTCAGGCTCCACCTACTTTGCTTTTGGCCAGATAAATGATGATGGTTTTTGAGCTCTTACAGGTGTGGACCACAGGCTGAAGTCAGTCAAAATAAACATGGCTTCCTCCGGCTTCCCCAGCATGTCCAGCCACATCGTTGAGAACAGCCAGCAAACCTACTGGACAACTCTTTCACTCCCATCTAAAAGCCATTGTCTAACTTTGTAACCATTGAGCTAATTTTGTAATAAAAATGCAAACAAAAACAAACACAAATGATAGGCTTCTCCTAAGGAATGGCTGATAAAAAAATAGAAAACTCTTGAAGTTATTAACATTGCTAACATACGGTTAACGTGACGACTTCCTCTCCATTCTGAATGTCCCACAGTTTGGCCATTGTGTCCATACTTCCTGTAGCCACCAATGTGCTTTGAGGATTGAATGATAAGCACACCTGGGTTACATAAAATGAAAAAGGTTTTAGAAATACAGCGTTTTAGCCCTGGCTGGCATAGCTCAGTGAATTGAGCACAGGCTGCGGACCAAAGTGTTGCAGGTTCAATTCCCAGTCAGGGTACATGCCTGGGTTGCAGGCCACGACCCCCAGCAACCACACATTGATGTTTCTCTCTCTCTCTCTCTTTCTCCCTCCCTTCCCTCTCTAAAAAAATAAACAAAATCTTTTAAAAAAAAGAAAGAAATACAGCATTTTAATTGTTAATTTTTATGTAGAAAAGCTTCAAGATGCATTACCTTAGCAGAGTCAACCTAATTCTTTGTACAAATACTCAGCAAAATACCAACTATGAGCAGTCTGCAATCCGCAGGTTGCACCCTGAAGCAATCTCCTCTTGAGAGGAAGCCGCTTGCTCCTTTGCAGGGGCGCTGGCTCCCATTACCACGTACAGACCACCGAAGGACAAGAACAAAACCCGTCGCCCCACCTTCCTTGCAGCTATCATCACAGTCCTTTCAATCACGCCCCTTCACTCACCAAGGGCGTTGGCTGTCTGCCCAGTCTCAATTCCAAGTCTCGGTGGCCTTGGTGAGGGCCATCCATGCAATACCTCCAGACTCGGATCCTGGACTCCTTCTGATCATCACTTCCATGGCCACACCCTAACCTTGGCATCAACTTTTCTAGAAGATTCACTACCAATACACTAGTCTCGAGTTACAGTTTCTCAAAACTTCAGCTGCCACTCTTCCTTATCTCACCCCCTTCTCCAACCAGAGTACCTTCTATCTCATTAAGGCCACTTCCTTTCCTCCTGGGCCATCATCTGCCATTAAACTGACCCCCTGGAAGTATCGCTTCTGCCAGCATCTTCAACACTCTCAGTCCCTATCTTTCGACTGCACCATCTGCAAAACTCCTAGAAACCTGTATGAAGATGAAATTTTTTATCCACACATTTGCTGTACCTACCTCATCACTCAGCAAAAGCAACTTAAGAAAACAGCAGAGCAGACCGCCAGTGTTGCTCATTCATGACTTCTGGCCTCGTCTGTGTCCTCAGGACCATCCCCTACTTTGTCTAACAGGTCTTTAGCTCACCACATCCTCCCATTGCCCACTCTTGCCCACACTCCCGTGCCCGTCCTCCTTAGCTGATACCTGGCCTCCTAGTACTTCCCTGAGAAAACTCACCCATCAGGTGGAAATTTCCTCAATGGGCCTCACTTTCCTGTTCTTCAGTCTCAGATTCAGAGGATCCCTTTGCCTAGTTTAAGACACTGCCTTCTCCCCTGCACTCCTGGGGGAGATGTGCCCACCAACCAGACTAGATCCCGCCCAATGACCTAAATATGCCTGAGCTTCTCCCACATAAAGACAAATCCCTCCTTGACTCTATGTGCCCCTTAACTACCTTCTTTCCCATCTAAACTAAATTCCTTGCAAAAACAGTCTACCATCACTCAGTGTTTGCCCACTTTCTACTCTTCCGCCCCACTTAACCACTCCAGCTGCATGTCCACCCCAAAGGGTGTGGCTGGTCATTCCACTTAACCTCCCTGGGTTCTCGATATTTTCCTCCTTCACAGCTTTGACCGTGCTCTGCTTTCCTCCTCTTACTTCTCTCTTCTTCTGTATCTCTTAATGGTTTCCCTCCTCCACCCTGCCAAGGTTCCATCAGTCTTCTCCCCATACCCTAACTTTTCCTTTGAGAAATTTCAGTGGTTTAATGGTTCCTACGGGCATCCAGATGCCACTGACCCATATCCGTGTCTCCCGCCCAGACCTTGACGCTCAGCCCCAAAGAGCCCACTGCCAAATGGATGCCTGTGTTTGGTTAGCACACAGGCAGCTTTTGTCAATCTGCCTAAGACACATGAGTCATATGAAGCAAACCTGCTCCTTCTCTTTTATGTACAGAATGGGCGAATGATACCGCTAGTCATCCAAGCCTGAAATCAGAGAAACATCCTGGACCCCTATTCTTGCCTTCATGCCTCGTATTGACCTGGCAACCTAACCGTGCTCCTCACACCCCAGCCCCTCTCACATGCTCCTCACCTGCCTCATGACAAGCTTTCACTATTTGTGCTTGGACTGCATCAAGGGCCCCCACTGGCCCCTAGTTCTCATCTTACCCACCTCCCATCTCTCCTTCATACTGCCAGAAAAATAGACCAGTACAGCAATATCTGCAGGGTCAAGTCCAAAGTCTACCATAGCACATGAGACCCTTTGTATGTCTATAACATGGCCTCTCCCACTTCAGTCACAAACACCCTGTGACCTGGCTTTGAATAGGTTGTAAGTATGCCAACACATTGATGCCCTTAACCCAGGCAGCCGGACTATCCAGAGTCCTTGCATGTCACCTCTGGCGTGGACTGCAAATCTGCACCAGCCCATTCTGTGCATGTCACCACAGGGAAGTTCGAAGGGCACCGCTCTGCCACACAGAGCCACGCGAGCGCTCAAGCACATGCTGCTGTTGCACACCATGCCCGCGCGGCTCCTCTGCCCGGAACGCACATGCCACCCCTTTGAAAAGTCTTTCCTGAACACCTCCCTTAGCCGAGAAGCCTTGGCTGCTCCCCTCTGTGCTCTCACCAAATTCGCCACCAACTTCCAGACACCTATGGCATGTCTACTCCCTCCACTACATTTCAGAATGCCGGAAGGGCAAGAGCTAGGTCTGATTCTGGTTTGGTAGCCCAAGCACACAGGCCAGGGTTCACACACAGGCACTACTTAGTAGGCATGGATTGGATTGATGTTAGCCATGAAAAACATGAATGTCCTCCTAGGAACCATGCACAAAGATAACTTTTACAAAATTCCAAGGGAATGTGGAAACGTGGCCACACTATGGTAGTAAAGACCATGTCTTTCTTATGGCCGTGGGAAAGGTACTTAAACTCGCTAGGCCTCAGTCTCCTAACTGTACACTGGCCAAGTACCTCTCTCTTAGGGTTGTTATGCAGCACAACTAAGCTAATCTATACATATGGGAAGGACTTAGGAAAATGCTTCGTGCACGCTGAATGCCATGAAAGAGTCAATTATAATTTTTCACCACTATATCCCCCATGTCTAGCAGAGTACCTCGAACACAGCATGAACTCTAGTTGGATGAATACAGCATGGATTTGAAGGGTGACTATAAATACATTTTACTCCTAAAATAAGCATGCGGTTTATTTTTAACAGCTATCATTTGTTCCACGGGGTGCTAATTATCTCACTAACTGCTATAAGATGTGTCAGAGAATTGGCCAAGGGCAAGGGCTTCCCAATAGTAGAAGCTATTTACAGTGTCCGACTATTTATGTAAATTTGAGTTCTAATGATATCTCGAGAACAATCAGCATAAGTATTGTACATGATACAGAAAGTTATTTTAAAAGCTATTATAAGAAGTTTATCAACCCTCATCAAGTCAGTCCTTTAAAGAAATATGAATGAAAAAGAAAAGTTAGTTTGGCTATCGTTCTCATATATTATATGTCTACTGAGTCAATGCAGGCATCTGCAGCATATTAAAATTAGAGTAGTTTGCGAATAATATCAACGCCACTAAACAAAATAGATATATCATAAAAATACTAGATAGGATTTTAAAATTCATTATAAAGATAGACCCACACCTTTCGGAATGGAATCCTGGGAAAGACATAGCAATGATGTGTCAGCGCTGGCTCATCGTTTGTGAGAAGTGTACCACCCTAGTGAAGGGCGTGAATAATGGCACATGCCGTGTGGGGGTGGGGGTGGGGGTGGGGGTGGGGGTGGGGGTGGGGGCGGGGAGGGGGACAGGGAGTGTGTGGGAAACCTCTCTACCTTCCCCTCAGTCTGGCTGTGAACCAAAAACTCCTCCAAAAAACTCAGTCTATCAAAACAAAAGAAAGGAAAAACAAAACAGAACAGCAGCATAGAAAGGCTAATGAAACACAGGTACTCACTATTTCTGCCGTGTGGCCCCTAAAGGTGTGGTAGCATTTCCCCGTTTCTGCGCTCCACAGTTTGCAGGTCTTGTCGAAGGACCCAGTGGCAATTTTGTCACTAGGACAAAGGAAGCAAAATGTGGGTTTGGAAATCAAATTCAACCACAGTTATGTGACTCACTGAGTTAAGATAAGATAAGATATTAATGCATGAATCTCTATCTGCTCAGAAATTTACTGCACTTTTAAAGCAATATGCAATCCTACAGTTGTTTCATAGGTAACAAAATAAAGCTCTCATTTTTTAATGGCATCATTTTGTATGTTTAATTTTAAATACTTTACATTAAAGGTATATGTTTAGGAGTAAAAATACTTTTTAAATCAGTACCATAAATACAGTAAAAGATTTAGTTTAGAAAATGACTAACAAATAAAAATTAATAATGTGTAATAAGTCACATAAACACAGAAAAGTTGTTGGTGCATCTCTTAAAAGAGGATAGCATTGGATTTACAAAAACAATGATAAAAGATAAACCCAATTAACCGCATGCCCAGATAAGGTTTAATAAGTCAGACTGCGAGTGTCTCCTCAGGGAAAACACTGCCCCGTTATCTCAGTCATGAGGAGCCAGAGGAGGGTTTAGGGAGGACGTGTAATAAAGACGTCAGCCCCTTTCGGACAAGGGCCCCCCCAGCCTACCGTGGGGCACTGCCCCCATCCACACCCACGGGGAAGACCGGAGCAGCCTGTTCAACCTTCGACTGTGGGACTAAAACCTTCTCTTTCACCCCTTACCCCATCTGTCCTTGATAGGAAGTCATCCAAATGCTCACCCAGATGGGTTATCATTCAAGTGCAAGCTCATTGTTAAAAAGTGTGAGGGGTCTTAAGATCCAAAATACATCTCCCAAAGCAAACCTAAGTGCTCAGCACAGCGGCAGAATTTCTGTTGGTTCAGACTAGCATGGTGCCCTGCATCTCTCCTCTGTTCTCAGACCCCCACAGGGTACCCCTTTGGTCTCTCTCTGATGCTCAAGGAAAGCGAGGCCCTTTCCGGAATGCTGCAGGGACAGCGTCTCCTGGAAAATATACCCTGCCGATCCCACAGGCTGATTCTGCACCTGGAAACTCTGCCGGGCTTTCTCTCGTGACACCCAGTCTAAGGCATTCTCCATCAGCAGCTGTCCTTCAAATTCTGCTCAAAATACCCTGAAAGCCCTGGGAGTTTTCTGTCAGTCCCCTCCCTCCATTTTCCGTGCTCCCTGTGCCTCAGAGATATCAGCCTCAAGTTGCTGTTGTTCCCTGATCAAGGTCTGCTCTAACACACGCTGTTCTCTACATCCCTACGACACCATGTTATAAAAGATACTGACTCCAATATTTTTAGAATTACTAGATTGAATCAAAGCCTACTCCTCACCTAATATATTAAACAGATGAACACCAATCCAGTTGAAGTTCATGTCTCTTCCTCCCCTTATCTCCCTCTCTCTCTCTCTCATGCACACGCACAAATGTATAAACACATAAACGCTCCCTCTTATTCTGTTGGCAACGGCCTTGAGCTCATTTTGCTGAAACCCCAATGCCCCAAAGTGCAGTGACAACGCCACTGCAACGCACACCCGAGCAGTCAGACTAAGACAACGGGAGCTGGCCAAGTGGGTTCTCACCAAGGGCTCTCGGTAGAACCCGATACAAGGGCCAGACAGTGAGGAGTGCTTCTTATTACCACTCCATCCTCAAAAACTGTTCTCAGATACACATCCGAAAATATCACATCTGTTAAAGGATGTGGTATTATAGAGGATATGCTTTCAAAAGCCTTTAAATAACATGTCGGTTAAAAGAAATTATACTAGAAATAAAACAGTATCACTTATAATTTTTAATAAAAACCTTTCTTTCCCACAAGCTGTTATAATTAGGTATTATAAAAATGATCATTCTGTACAATTTAAAAATGTATACATCAAAGTTAAATTTTCTGTAGTTTAATTGGAACATTTAATCATTTTAAAATACCAATGAAGTTTGATTTTGCCGTTACAATTAGCATGCTCAGAAAATGTATCACACTTTCAAAAGACATGACATTAGCCATCTAGACATCAAGGCTTTAATAACTGTGATATAAAATTCTCACTCTAGGGCAGCAAACTCATATAAAATACACTGTATTGCCTCCACCACTATCCCAGACAGTTCCCATCGCCCCGAGAAGGCGCTGCTTGACCTGCTTCCTGACTCAACTCCCTGCCTCCTGTTTCTTCCCACCTGCACCCTCTGGTCCCTCCTTCCTGCCAGGACGGTTCTTCTGAGACAGCGCTTTCACCGTGTCCCTCCGACGTTCACACACCTCTCACAGTGACGCAGTCCTCCGGAGCCGAGTTCCAACTGCACAGAGGCTCCGACCTCACCCGTCTCTGTTTCTCGGGGTGAAACAGGGAGGGAGACCGGAGCCTCACCAGGGAGGCTGGGGCCACTGAGCACGCCTGACAAGGCCCCAGCGAACACCCCGAGCGGCCAGAGTCCCCGGGTCCCGGGGGGCCCCAGCACTGCGCTGCAGCTCCCACCTCTCATGCTTCTGCCTCAGTCCCCTGTCGTCCTCAAAGACTGTACCCAGGACGGGTCACAGTCATGTCTTAGCTTTCAAACCATTTGCTGTGTGGTCCTAGTCATCAGCATACTGTAATGAAGAACCATGTTTCCATCAGACTGTCAGCTGATTTCTCAAAAGAGACCTTACAGGCAAGAAGGGGCTGGAAAGAAGTATTCCAAGTCATGAAAGACAAGGACCTACATCCCAGATTGCTCTATCCAGCAAAGCTTTCATTTAGAATGGAAGGGCAGATAAAGTGCTTCTCGGATAGGTCAAGTTAAAGGAGTTCATCATCACCACGCCCTTATTTTATGAAATGTTAAAGGGACTTATCTAAGAAAAGAAGATTAAAAAAAAACATGTATAGTAAAATGACAGCAAACTCACAATTATTAACAACCACATCTAAAGCAAAACCAAAAGAAACTAAGCAAACAACTAGAACAGGAAAAGAACCACAGAAATGGAGATCACATGGAGGGTTAGCAACAGGGTAGTGGGAAGAGGAGAGAGGGGGAAAGGTATAGAGAATAACTAGCATAGATGGTAGGTAGAAAATAGACAGAGGGGACGGGTAAGAATAGTATGAGAAATGTAGAAGCTAAAGAACTTATAAGTATGACACATGGACATGAACTAAAGGGGGGGGATGTGGGTGGGAGAGGGTGTGCAGGGGTGGAGGGGAGTGAAGGGGGGAAATGGGACAACTGTAATAGCATAATCAGTAAAAAAAAAAAAGAACCATGTTTCTCAAACCAAATTGGTTAATGGAAAAAGTCAGTTAAAGCAGGCAATCATGAAAAAAGACATGTTTAAATTTTTACTCAAATGAGTACAAATACACATTCATTTGCCAATCTTTTGACAAGAGACCGAGGCCTTTCCTTTGACTGTGGGTCAGCTAATCACTCAGTTCCTTGTCAGCCTTAGGGCAACCATATATACACCATATCCAGCCTCCACAATTTCCAACTTCTTCTTTGAAATGCAATCAGAACTTAAACTTTAAAATACATGCAGAACAATCCAAATACAGAATTTTTTAAAGTTTTTACAATGTGTTTTCCAATGTTTAAATTAACCTCATCTACAACTTCATTTAGTAAGTTTTTGCAAATATTTCCCTTTTCCGTGTTTTTACAGAAAAACAGCTTCATTTTCACATTCATATTTCATTAGTTATAAGCAAAATTTAATTAAATTAAGTAATGTATTTTGCCATGTATAATGAACACTTTTTTTTGCCCAGATTTTTGAGGGGAAAATAAGTATGCACATTATATATGGGTATAACGATTATGTATCATGGGTATAATAATGCTATGTATAATGCACACAAATATTAGTGCACATTATACACAGCAAAATACAGTAATTACAACCGAAAGCACAACCAGCATAACCAGGTTCATGGACAAACGCAACCGACTCTGGGTAAGCTTAGAACCTAACCAGTGGGCAGAGAAGTTGCCCGTCCAGTGGTTAGCCCAGTTGCTGCAAGCACTCAGGGGCCGTGGCTGTCAGCAGTACGTCGTGCAGAGAGACAGAAAACCTGGGAAGTCCACTGGCTCCACGAACTACAGATCAGTTTAAAAACGTTCTATTGTATTTGGTACTGCTATTTAGCATGTGACTATACACATTGTTTTCTATCTGGTAAGGCCATAAATGAACTTCCTAACAAAGTAGACCACTTTACCAATGCGTGTCACATTCTCCAGAAGCACCAACCCAGTGCTACAAATCCCAGTAGGAACTGCCAGTCCGAGGGCTCCCAAGGACAAAGTCGGCCCTCCTTGAGCTCATCTTGCTCCCCACTTTAAAACTGTGTGATCCTGGGGCGGGAACTGGAACTTCATACACTTTCCTGAGGACGGTAATCCCAATCCCTAAACTCCTTTAAGCACTGAAGGTGGTTATTTAAAAGGGTTTCAAAGCATGCATCAGGCACACAGTACATTTTAGTTCTCTGTCTTCCTACTTTCCTCCCCCCTCCCAGCCCCATCGGTGGAGGAAGGGATGAATAAATGAATGGATGGATGAACGGGGAATGAGGGAATGTGGCGTTACCCGTAAGGGTTGTTGAAGGCTATGGCGTAAACCACGTTCCTGTGCCCGTCCAGGGTGTACAGCTCCTCTCCAGACGCCGTGTCCCAGAGCTTGCAGGTGCGGTCGTAGCTCCCGGTGATGAAGCTAACGCAGGAACAGAAATAAGTCACCAGGTGAGTTAATAGAGACCTCAATTCTACCTGCAAGGCGATATCCCCACGTATCATGCTTTTTACAATGGAAACTGTGTATGCAGAACAGACAGTTAAATTGGAGGCAATATCTCAGTCCTTTGCCTGGGAAACTTCCCAATGTCATCCCAAACCAAAACGGAGCCAATAAATAAAATAAAGAGTAATCCTGCCAATAACCAGTCTCATAACAAAAATAATTATATTAAATAATGATCATCACTAACACTTTTTGCAATTCTAACATCAACCTTTCAGTGGGCCAGACCATAAAATCTTAGTACCATCCTTGGTTCCTCTCTTCCGCTCACATCCCACACACCACCTGTCGGTCAATTCCGTCACCCCAGCCCCCAAATGCATCCCTGCTGTGGCCGCTCTCACCAGCTCCAGCACCTCCATTGCCTGCCTACACAAATGAAACCATCTTCTGATGGGTCTTGGCTCATAAACAGTCCTTACAAGTGGATTTTCCTCACCAAAACTGGAGCTATTTTTTTTAACCTTCCTCAAAGGCTTTCCAGCAGTCGAGAGGAAAATTCAAAACTTCTGCCCAAGGTGCACCAGGCCAGCGGCCCTGGCTGTCTCCCAGCAGCCACAGCCACCTCTGCGCTAGTCTCTGGAGACCCACACCGTTCGTTTCATACCTGCTCGTTCTTCTACCCACCTGGCTCACCACCGCCATCCCCAGGGCCCGGAGCATGGCTGGCACACTAACAAGTGTTCAGTAAACATTCATTTAATATTTCACAATTCTTCCACATGACTAGTCTACTAAAGGAAAGGTCGTATATTGACCTCTAATATTTGAAAGTAAAATAGTAGTATTTTAATTATTTCTTACATGTTCCATTAAGAACAATATTTCCCCAACACAGAAAAAAAAGGCACCAAATTGAATATCCAGTCTGAATGTCAAGTGGGAATGACAAAAAGTGAACACAGAGTCTGATGTCTAAGCTTGACCAACCAGGCGGGTGGAGAGGCAGCGTAGCTGTGCTCCTCCTCTGAGCATTCTCTCCTTCTCTCCTTCTGGGACGTAAATGGGTGCGGTCATTATGGAAGACACTATGATGGTTTCCCCGAGAATTCAAAGTAAAACTACCATATGGTCTAGCAGTTGCACTTGTGGGTGGATGTACAGGCCCAAGGGAAAAGCAACCAGACTGTCGCAGAGACACCTGCACTCCCACGTTCGCTGCGGTACTATTCACAACAGCCAAGATATGGAAACAGTGTTCAGTGTCCGTCAAGGGATGAATGGATAAAGCACATGTGATATATGTAATGGAACATTATTCAGTCATATGAAGGAAGGAAATTGCCCTGGCTGGTGTGGCTCAGCGGATTGAGAACTGACCTGCAAACCAAAAGGTCACTGGTTTGAGTTCCAGTCAGGGCACATGCCTGGGTTGCAGGCCAAGTTCCCTGCTGGGGTTGTGCAAGAGGCAACTGACTGATGATTGATGTAGCTTTAGCACATTGATGTTTCTCTCCCTCTCTTTCTCCCTCTCTTCCCCTCTCTCGAAAAATAAATAAGATCTTTTTCAAAATTTTTTTAAAAAAGAAGGAAATCCAGCTATGAAAGCATGGATGAACCTAAATGACATTATGCTAAGTGAAATAAGCCAGATAGGGAAGGATGAATACTATTTGATCTCATTTATATGTGAAATCTTAAAGAGAAGTTGAAGGTATAGAAGCTGAGGGCAGAACAGGAGTAGTTACCAGGGACTGGAGAATGGGAGAAACCAGAAGGTGTTGGTCCAAGGTGACAAAGTTACAATTACACAGGATGACTAAGTCTAGATATCTGATATACAGGCAATGATGACTACAGCTAATGACACCATATGGATTAATGGAAATGTGCCAACAGAATAATTTCCCACACAAAACAAGGTAACTGTGGGATGATAATACTAATTAGCTTGACTAATAATTACTTCACTATGTATATGTATATCAAATCATCATGCTGTACACCTTACACATATACAATATTTTAAAAAGAATTTTTCCCATGAGTGTTAAATATTATAAATAATAGAACTATATAGAAATAGAAAAATAAAAACAGAAGTGAACAGGCAGAGCCCAGAGGAGTCTGTGGGCTGCGAAACTGCTCTGCGTGACACCAGAATGGTGGGTGCATGTCATTACACATTTGTCCACTCCCAGGACCTGCAAAGCCAAGAGCGAGCCCTCCCGAAAACTGTGGACTTTGAGTGACAATGTTTGTCACTGTAGGTCCTCCAGTTGTGATGAATGCCCGGCACTTTGGGGGACGTCATCATCAGAGGGGAAGCTGTGAGGTGCGCGTGGGCAGGGGGTGCACGAGAAGTCTCTTTATCTTCTGGTGCTCTGAAATCTAAAACTGCTCTGTAAGTGAAGTCTAATAAAATTATTTTTTTAAAGATTTTATTTATTTATTTATTTATTTAGAGAGGGAAGAAAGGGGGAGAGAGAGAGAGAGAAACATCAATGTGTGGTTGCTGGGGGCTGTGGCTTGCAACCCAGGCATGTGCCCTGACTGGGAATCGAACCTGCAACACTTTGGTTCACAGCCCGCGCTCAATCCACTGAGCTATGCCAGCCAGGGCAAAATTATTTTTAAAAAATAAAGAGAAAAGCTTACCAAGAGCCCGATTTATTAAGGGCAACATTCGTCAGTGGCAGTATGTGTGCTCGGAGAACCTTCAATGAAAGAAAACACCTTTGCTTTAGCTCAAATAAAATTAAATTTAATTAATTCATTTTAACTTCAAACCAACAAAAATATTCAAGTTTGTCTTAATTACATTAATAAGTGGACAATACCCAGTATGTGAACAAATGAGGAAAAATGCATTGTACCTTCTATTATGCTGACCAACCATATATTTGGTAGTTATGAATAATCATGAAAATATAGCTGAATCTGTGTTTTCTGCTTTACCCTTAAGATAAATTATTGCTATAAAATATCAAGTAGCACTAATTTATAGTAGTTTTTACATAGTACACATGGTTTTGTATATGTGCATGAACAGTGTATAGAAGAAATATATTAAATATGTTCACAATGTATTACTTTTTGAATCTTAAAGCTCTTTTAGAGTCATGATATGTCTTATTTTATTTCTCTTTCAACCCCTACATTATCTGGCACATAGTGGATGCTTAATATTTATTGGAAAAATGTACATAAATTAGTCTGTTTATGGACAGAGTGATAGACTAGGCTGGGACAGTCTCAGTTATGTCTGCCACCGGAGTAGAACTACTGTTAATAGTGCTTTCTCTCACTGTCATCAGTATTCCCCTCAAAGGAGAAATTACAAGGTCAAGTTTAGTTATAGCACTCCCATTTGAAGTTAAACAGTGCCACCTTCTGGACAAAGAAATTTTACAAGAACAACCTCAACTGAATGGATGAATGAATACAAAAGATTGCCTGAATATTTTGTCAGATAGAATATGTCAAGTATGTAAATAATAATTATATTTTATTATAATTATATTTAAATCATATAAATTTAATGTAATATGAAGCAATTCTAGAATTAACTATTAAGTGTTAATTAAAAAAATGAAAGCTGTTCCTGAAGTAATAAGTGACTGTATTTGTTATACTTTTAATTTCATAATCAAAAGTATGAAGAAAAGTAAGCATACTTACATTGCATGAAGCTGTTATATAATCCATATCAATAAATAATTTACTGAAATATAATTTGTTTCACATGAACTTCTGAAATATTGATATACTATGAAAAACAACTTCTTAATATTACTCTAATTGGAAGAAATAATTTTAATTACTCAATAACTTAAAGCTGCCTTAATGCTTATCCTTAAATTTATCATTATAAAGAAAAATATATTTACTATAAATCTTTATTAAACCCCTTTATTAAACCTATGTTTGAATTTCATTCATTCAACAAACATCCATTGAAACTTAGCCTTGGCAAATATATGTGAGGCACTGAGGGAAAAAAAAACACAGGATTTGTATTTCACCTCACATTAATCGGACTTCAGGTAACTCACTGAAGTCCCACCTCGCGTTCTCAAAGCGTGCATTACCTTGAAGAGGTAGAATTTGTGGTCGCTGTGCTGGCCGAGTTTCTCTTGCAGTCTCTGTATTAAAAGTTTGACTTGGTCTGACCGTGACGCTGTGATCAGAGGCTCTGCTCTCTGTATCTCTTCTACTAGGGCATCCACATCAGTACTGAAATTCCCAAGGAGAACGTTACTTTTCCCCAGGCCAAAAATCACATATGCATTCATTACAGGAGGTTGCACTGTTTCATAAAGCATAGCATTTACAAAATGTCAAGAACACCATCATCTCTACCAAGAGATTTCTGGGGTGGCGGGGGAGGGGGGCTGGGGGCGGGGGGTCTTGTGATTCAATACAAAGCACTGAGGCAGGGATGGAGGCCATCTGAGTTCTCCAGAAGGCACCTGCCTTGCCTGAGACTTCTGCGTGGGAGCAGGGGTCGGGGGTGCAAACATTCTGGTTGGCTTACCTAAAGGGGCCAGGTGCATGCTGGTTCTGAACATGAGCTTTTTCTCTGTATTATTTTTTTCTTCTTTTTCTTTTAAGTGAACATGTATTCAATGTTCCTGGTACTACCATATGGGAAAACATATTTGCCAATGATACCTCAGACAATGGTGTAATCTCTAAAATATATAAAGAACTCACATGACTCCACTCTAAGAAGACAAGCAACCCAATTAAAAAATGGGTAAAGGACTTGAACAGACTCTTCTCCAAGGAGGACATACAGAGGGTCCAGAGACACATGAAAAAAAATGCTCAGTATTGCTAGCCATCAGAGAGATGCCAATTAAAACCACAATCAGATACCACTTCACAAGGGTCAGATTGGCCATCACAAACAAAGCAACAAACAACAAGTGTTAGAGAGATTGTGGAGAAAAGCGGACCCTAGTGCACTGTTGGTGGGACTGCAGACTGGTACAACCACTATGGAAAACAGTATGGAATTTTCTCAGAAAACTAAAAATGGATCTGCCTTTTGACCCAGCAATTCCACTGCTGGATTATATCCTAAGAACCCTGAAACACCAATCCAAAAGGACCTATGCACCCCGATGTCCATAGCAGCACAATTTACAATAGCCAAGTGCTGGAAGCAACCTAGGTGCCCATCAGTAAATGAATGGATCAAAAATGATGGTACATTTACACAATGGAACTCTATGCAGAAGAAAGAAAGAAAGAAAGAAAGAAAGAAAGAAAGAAAGAAAGAAAGAAAGAAAGAAAGAAAGAAAGAAAGGAAGAAAGGAAGAAAGGAAGAAAGGAAGAAAGGAAGAAAGGAAGAAAGGAAGAAAGGAAGAAAGGAAGAAAGAAAGAAAGAAAGAAAGAAAGAAAGAAAGAAAGAAAGAAAGAAAGAAAGAAAGAAAGAAAGAAAGAAAGAAAGAAAGAAAGAAAGGAGCTCCTACCCTTTGCAACAGCTTAGATGGAGCTGGAAAGCATTATGCTAAGTGAAATAAGCCAGGCAGTGAAAGACAAATACCATATGATCTCACCTTTAATAGGAACCTAATCAACAAAACAAACAAACTAGCAAAATATAACCAAATACACTGAAACAATGACCAGAGGGGAGGGAATTTCAGGGGAAAGGGGGAAGGATTTGCAGGAACAAGTATAAAGGACACATGGACAAAAACAAGGGGAGGGCGTGGAAACGGGAGGGAGGGGGGGAGGGCTTCGGGGTGGGATGGGATGCAGGTAAAAGGCAGAAAACTGTACTTGAACAACAATTAAAATAAAATAAGATTTTTTTAAAAAATCTTCCTGGTACTACTATACTTTCCACTTTATGTATATTCTTGTTTAATTCTGCAACAACCCTCTAATGTTATGCTTTTATTGTAATTATCTTTGTGATTTAAAAAATTAGGATTAGAAAGGTTAGGTTTTATATAGTTTTAAGGAAAGAAAAAGCACCTGATGGAAAATAAACATTCAAAGAATAATGATGATTTTAATTAATATTCCCTATTGGCAAGAACCTGATTTCCCTGCAAGAGAACTGGTCTGACAAGCCCAGATTCATGGTTTTCCCCAGTATTCAAATAGTCTATAGCAATTCTGGCAAATTTTGCTCATCCAGAATAATATTAGATCAAGACAACTACAAATGACTATAAACCACAAAACACTTAAAATGGGGTGATTTTACCAAACACGTATCTAGGGCGCACTGTCTAGCACCCACCCTTCAAGGAAGGGAGGTGGTGATTCCAGTGGACAACCTCCCGCCGCAGCCACTTCGGGTTTCCACCTCGGTATTTGCACTCAGGGCCCGCTCTTCTCCGCGGCCCCTGCCCACCTCCGAGCAAAGGGGCGGTGCTAGCTAGGGTCAGGCCATTTTGAGCCTGTGCGAGATCCTTCTAACCAGCAGGCTGTGCTCCAGAGCTCCCCTTTAGGCCATCAGAGATCTTGGTCAAGTCAGTGCCATCGTGGCTCAGGGCTCCCCCTGCCCAGCCCTGCTTCAGCCTTTGGTCTGTCACAGGTGTCCCTGCCCAGCAACCTTTTACCCACCTACCGCTGTCTCAGTGTCTACTTCCCAGAAACTCAAACTCTGGTGAGTATCCTCCCTCTCTCCATCAATAAACACTTCCCAAGCTCCAGTGTTGTGCAAGGCGTGAGCTAGGAGATGACTCAGTCTGTTCACATTCACTGAGAACCTGCTGCCGCCGAGGTGCTGGGAGTGTGTAAGATACGGTCCTGGCTCTCAGGAAATACACAGTCCACCAGAATATTTGGAATGGAAATAAAGCAGAGACGGTTTATAATGATGCCTTTGATAAATTCCAAGACAGTCAGCTGGTGAAAAAATCATGCTTTCATAAGAATTAAAAACATAATAATGCCTTTTGGAAAAGTTTCCAACAAATGCTATGAATCGGTACAGATTTCTTAGCAAGATCTCAATTAACCAGGTATTTAGCCCACACACCCCAACCCTGCAGTCCAATCCTAATTGCTGTTTTCCAGCATAGTAGCCCCAGTGTGGCATATATAATGCAAGCATTTTTGGTGCAGGATACTTCCAGATTCTTTTATTTTTTAACTGACTCTTTTTTAAGATTTTATTTATTTATTTTTAGAGAGGGAAGGGAGGGAGCAAGAGAGAGAGAGAGAAACATCAATGTGCAGATGCTGGGGGTCATGGCCTGCAACTCAGGCATGTACCCTCACTGGGAATCTAACCTACAACACTTTGGTTCACAGCCCGCGCTCAATCCACTGAGCTACACCAGCCAGGGCACTTCCAGATTCTTGAGCAGAACTAGAAAAAAGTATATACACTTTAAAAACAAAACCTTGAGACGTTTATTGACATTATAGGATGACTACAACGTCCTAAAGATCTATGCTTTTTAAACACAAATCTGCATTGTTCTGAATCTCTAGCTGGAAGTAGCCTCTCGTGTCAAAGTTTATCTGCACCGCTCACAGGATGTACTTCTGTTTCGTACAAATTGTTTCTCAAATTAGGCAATCGGCCCACGGAGGTAGGAATTACAATTAGCATCTTCATAGCTTCTCATAAACTGGAATCTAGGACTTTACATGTAGAAGGTGCAAATATGTCATTACTGACTAAAAAAAAAATGAGTGTCCTAACAACGGGACTTTGCACCTGCTGGCATAACCGCACGAATAATATGTTCCCTTTACAAAAAGAGCAAAAGGGCTTGATTTAATCCGAGGCCTTGTCTTCCCTGAAAATAGGTTAAATAGGGTTGATAGGATTGATGCAGACAAAATTCAATGACATTATCTTTGCTACTGTTTACTCTTTGATTTAAACAACAAAAATGCCTCCTGAGGACTTTCTTGGGAATAACACATGGACCCCACCCTAAGCAGCCTGGTCTCAGCCACACCTGTTCTCCACCTAAGCCAGATTCCAGACCTGGCAGCTGCCCTGGCCAGCCATGAGGCCATTCGTTTGGGTTTATTTTAAAACTAGAGAGCAGCTCGCTACTGTTACATTTTGGTTCTGTGCGAGGGCCCTTTGCTGACAGTCTCTGGTCCCCTCCCAATGAACCAGGACAAAGCAAAAGGACAGCCACAGTGGAAAATCACTTATTTCTCTGGGGTGCTACTCTAAAACACACATCGCGGTGTTTTTGTCCTTTTTTTCCCTCTCCCACTGAGGATATCTTCGCCTTATCTGAACGCAGGCTCACACAGGTATAACCACTATTCTGATTCTGTCTCTCGAAGCGGAGTTTTGCATACGATCTCCCACAGGGAATGGGTCCTGGCCAACACGACCTCACCGGGGGATTTCCTCTGCGCACACAAGCTTCAGAGACAAAAATCTGGTCCTCTGAACCGTGGCCCAGGGCAATTCATGAGGAAGAGGGCGTGCAGCCGGCGCTATCAGACGGTTATCTACCAAGAAAATAACAAGCTCAGTAAAATTGTTAAAATTTAATGACCAGCACTCCTCCAAACTGTCAAAGTCATCAAAAACAAGGAAAGCCTGAGAAACTCTCACAGCCAGGAGCAGCCCGGGGAGACTTGCCAATTGAAAGTCAGGTGAGATCCTGGAGGGGATCTTGGAAGAGAAAAAGAGGTTTAGGTGAGAGACAAACAAAACAGACCTGAATAAAAGACAGTTTTAAGTTAACAGTAACATAGTACTATTATTGTGGTTCATTACTGTACCAGTACTGGTTCATTAATTATTGACAAATGTACTGCACTAATCTAAGATGATAATAACAGAGCATACTGAGTATGGGTGTGTGGGGAATTTCTCTTCACAACTTTTCCAAAACTATTCTAAACTAAAAGGTCTATTTTTTTAAGTTGTATTTAGAAAAGGAAAGGACAGACTAATGATCCATTTTCCACCTTCTCCTCACTAAGCAAAACACTCAAGTAGCACTCACTGAAACAAGCAGAAATAACACCGCACAGAGCATTTCTGAAAGCAATGCACTGTCTGAATTCACACCGCTCATCCACACATCGCCTGGTGTCAGGCGTTCCCATGAAAGACTGGACGTGATACACATGGTGCGACGTGCAGCCAGCTTACCTGGGACGGAGATCGAGCAAATCTATGGATTTGGTCTTCAGTTCCCCACTCTTCTCATATTCCAACATAATCCCTGTAAAAATAAACAAACAAACATGCTATAAAACATTTACGACAATTGATGTCAAAAGTTAATCAATCTACTTTGACAATTTGTTTTATTTTTATCTCTCAATGTTTTGAATTTTTCAAAACATGCACAGTGATGTCTGATTCTAAAACAAGAGCATGCAAACTCATTATTTCTTGGTCCTTCCTGTAAATACAAGCAAATACCCGTGAAATGACTCATCAGAAAAAACAACTTAATTGAGTTGGGTAGAAGGCAGACTGGTCGGATGCCTCAAGGCTTGAGGAATGACAATGTGGTAAATTCCCTGGATTCTCTTTTTATCTCCCTGCAGACACACACTGCGGACCGAAGGCATACAGCAACCACAAGAAAGCTTGCCTGCTGTGGCCAAAAGACCGAGAAGGGAGCTCAAACAAAGAATTAATGGGGAGGCCTAACCGCTGCTGGGCAGCTTGTGCCCCTGGTTGCCCCATTCCCACCGCAAAGCCGCACCCAGCAGCTGTCTGATCTGCCCGTAGCAGACACAGCAACAGAGCCCCAGACTTGTCCAATGTGCGCCCCTCTGCTGGGGCACAGATAGCCATCCTGCTCATTTCTAGCAGCATTAGGGAAGAGCTAGGATCTTTCAGACCCCACTTAACAACCAGGCCATCTGTGGGCAGTGTCATCCACCTCCAGGAGGGCAGCAATGAAGTCCCTGGGTGTCCCAGATGCCACACTACAGCCAGGTACCTAAGCAATGCGCCTGCCTTTCAAGTCACAGGCATAACCAGGGCCAGGGTTTTGTCCCCCACTCCCACGTCACCCAGTGAGGACAGGCATATTGGGATAAACCTTCTGCCCTTGCAAGTGGTACCAGCAGAAACTGAGCAACAAGCAGCCTTGGCAGCATCAGAAAAACCAAGCAGACCAGGGCAGCATTGCAAGGCCTCAGGAAACTAAGCTGCTATTGGAACTAAAGCAAGCCTGTGCTGGTGAGGAAAACAATGTCCGCCATTAGAGATTGGGGCCACTGCTCAATTTGTAGAGAGGAATCAGCAGCTTCACCTTCCGCTGCTTCTGTACCATTCATGCAAATGTCAATACATTGAAAATGCAAATATCATTATTGTGAAAAAAGATAGGATCCTGAGGCCCCACTTTGATGAGGTTCCAGGGCCCCTACAATTTGAGAATCACTACACAATTTGTTATAACAGATGCCAAATTAATCTAGGGAGTTAAAGTAATTATAATGATGTTATATTTCAAAATTTGAAAATTTACCAAATATTATAACAAGAAATTGTGATTCTGATGCAAAATGAGATCAATGTAATAGAACCACCTTTATATGAGAAGTTTCTTTATTTTAAAAATTAAGTCAAGGTAATATTTCAAATTAATGGGGGAAGAATAGATTATTCAATAAATAGTGATTTAAAAATCAGCTGAATTTTGAAAAAATAAATCTATAATTCTACCACGTGATGTACAAAAATACATTCTAAGCTGATTAGAAATTTTAGGGACTTCCGGTCAAGATGGACGCATAACTAGACACATTTTGCCTTCTTGTGCAATCACAGAAAGAATTACAGCTAGGCTTCAAAACAAACAACACCCAGAACTGTCAGAAAACCAAACTGTATGGAAGTCCAACAACCAAGAAAATAAGCCACATTCACCTAGATGGGTAGGAAGGGCAGAAACTTGGAGATGGATGGAGAGGCGAGGAGACATGGAGAGGCTGTGGCAGAGACAGAATAGGTGAACCCACATTCACATGTGGTGGATAAAAACTGGGAGAGATGACTGGGGAGCAAGTGATCCCAGGCCCAGCCAGCCCTCACAACCCCGGGGATCTAGCACCAGGAATATAAGTCCCCATAACTTCTGGCTGTAACAACCACCAGGGGACGGGGCAGTGGAAAAAACTGCCAAATTTTCAGGAGATTCCACTTAAAGGGCCTGCATGACCTTAAAACATATGCAGACCCACCCACTCTGGGATTCAGCACCAGGGCAACAGCTGGAAGGGTGCCAGTCACATACAGGGTGTGGGTGAAGTGACTGGAAATAGGGCAAGTACCAGGCAAACCTCCAGAAGCTAGAGAGCAACACTGTCTCCCTCTGAGCCCTCCCCTCATACAGAATCACAAAGCAATGAAGGAGGTTGCCCCACTCTGGCAATTACCTAAAGCTCTGCCCCACAAAATTTACAGGTGTTTTTTCTAAGACAGAGAATCAACACAACTCAACCTAATACGCAGAAACAAACACAGGGAGGCTGCCAAATCGAGGAGACAAAGTAATATGGCCCAAATGAAAGAACAGATCAAAACTCCAGAAAAAGAACTAAATGAAATGGAGCTAACCAACCTATCAGATGCAGAGTTCTAAACACTGGTGATCAGGATGCCCAAAGAACTCATTGAATATGGCAACAACATAAAGGAAGAAATGAATGTTACACGAAGTGAAATAAAGAAAAATCTACAGTGAACCAACGGTGAACAGGGGGATGCTGGGACTCAAATCAATGATTTGGAACATAAAGAAAAAATGAGCATTCAACCCGAACAACAAGAAGAAACAAGTAGTCAAAAAAAGCAAGGTTAATATAAGAAGCCTATGGGACATCTCCAAATGCACCAACATCTGAATCACAGGGGTGCCAGAAGGAGAAGAGGATGAGCAAGAAACTGAAACTTATTTGAAAAAATAATGAAAGGAAACTTCCCTAATTGGCAAAGGAAATAGACATATAAGTCCAGGAAGCACAGAAAGTCCCAAACAAGTTGGACTCAAAGAGGACCACACCAAATCACATCATAATTATATTACCTGAGATTAAAGATAAGGAGAGAATCTTAAAAGCAGCAAGAGAAAAGGAGACCTTTACCTACAAAGGAGTGCCCATAAGACTATCAGCTGATTTCTCAAAAGAAACCTTACAGGCAAGAAGGGACTGGCAAGAAATATTCCAAGTAAAAAAAAAGCAAGGACCTACAACCTAGATGACTCTATCCAGCAAAGCTATCATTTAGAATGGAAAAGCAGATAAAGTGCTTCCCAGATAAGGTAAAGCTAAAGAAGTTCATCATCACCAAGCCCTTATTATATGAAGTGTTAAAGGGACTTATTTAAGAAAAAGAAGATCAAAACTATGAAGGTTAAAATAGCAACAAATTCACAACTATCAACAACTGAATCTGAAAAAAAAACCAACAACAACCAAAAAAAAACCCCTAAGCAGACAGCCAGAACAGGAACAAAATCATAGATACAGAGATCATTTGGAGAGTTATCAGCTGGGAGGGGGAAGGAGGAGAATGGGGGAAAAGGTACAGGGAATAAGAAGCATAATTGGTAGGTACAAAATAGACAGGAGGGTGTTAAATACAGTACAGGAAATGCAGAAGCCAAAGACTTACATGTACAACCCATGGACATGAACTAGAGAGGGGATTGTCAGAGGGAAGAGGGGTACCAAGCAGAGGGGTGCAAAGGAGAAAAAAAAGAGACAATTGTAATAGGATAATCAATAGAATATATTTTTAAAAATATAAACAAATAAATATCTTTCCCTGAATAAAAAAAAAGAATTTTAATATTAAGAGTAAAATATAAATTGGTATAAATAATAAGAGTATATTTTTATCTTAGTGTTTGTAATTGGCTTATTAAGTATGATGCAAAACTCAACAGCTAAAAAAGAAAAAATTGATGGATTTGTCTGAAATATGTTAAGCTTCTACACAGTAAAGATACCACAAAGTTAAAGACAAAAGATAATCAGAAAAAAATAATTTTAACTATAAATACAAACTTAATGAATTTAATATAAAACTCAAATAATTTTAATTTTAAAATATTGACAAAAAGCTTGAACAATTTGCTAACAAAGAAAAACAGTAATCATTAAATAGACCCCAAAAAATAAAATACCCCTAACTTCAATAAGAAATATTGAAGCTATCCTTTAAATGCATTAGCTATGCATTTTTCATGATTTGGTTATAAGTATTACTTTTACATTTAAAAAGTAGCAGAAAAATAAGAACATGGAGAAAAAGTAAGAAAAATGATAGGGATCAACATTAATAGAATATTGATTCTTAAAGATCAAAATCCCCATAAAGTTGATTGAAAACTCCATAGACAGTACCTTGAAATGTACAACATTTCTATCAATTTAAAGCATCATTGTCATCAAGGACTCTGTGAATTTAAGTTTTTTACAGTATAGATAAGAGTACTCAATATTTACTATTTATTATTGAGAAAAATAGGGATTCAGTAACAGTTGAGTAAATAAATGATATAAACAAAGAATTAGTAATATAATCATGATCTATAGCTCAGGAAAAAATGGAAAGAATTAGCATTTGATAGCCCACCCAGCATAATCTAACATCTACAGGAAACAAATTTTAAAAAGATAGCAAACACATTTATACAATTCCACTGTCTTTGTTCACAACTGTCTTATTTCTAATGAAATGAAAAATGTTAAACGTCTTTAGGTTGACTACCAAAAATGAGTTGGGCTGATATACAACTGGAATCTCAAAAGCGAAGTACAAAATCCAAAACATGTCCATTAACTTTTTCACTGTGGCAAGTGCCAAGGCAGTGTGGTCCCCCTTCCATGCTCACTGAGCTAGCACGTGGGAGGAGGCGGGGACACAGGCAGTAAAGAAAACGACCATAAAATACACAAAGATGTTCCTGAAACAGGTAGTCCTTCAGCAATTGTTTCCCACGGTATCTGAATATTCCGGATCTTCCCCTGGTTGTGAATTATTACTCAACAGGTGTAATTCCCAAAACTCGGAGTTAAGGAGCCACTAACCCCACAATTCTGCAATGTAGTAAAAGGCTAAGCTTCAAAAGACGTGAGGATTCCTTACTCAGATCCTATTCAGTCAACAGAAACTTTTAAAGTGCTGATAACATTCATCAGTTTAATTAATGTTTATTTAATTCCTTCTCCTGGCCATAAAACAAGGGACTCTACCCGATAAATAAAAGACAAAGGCTGTTATACCTGAGTCATTTGGAAAGCATGTATTCAACACCTACTCTTCGTGAAGAGAAATGCTTGTGAATTAATGACTGTAGCCAAGATGAAAAGGAAATGCCTGGTGTTTCATTAGTCACGTTCTTGCTCCGTACCTTTAGTCAGGAATTTAGGTGGGGGGAGGGATCATTCAGTGGATGCCAACAAGACAATGCTCCTGACCTACACATTGCTCAAAGGAAGGTGGGAGGATTGCAAGGAGAGGATTAGCAGGCGAAACAAAATTGCTTTGTAGACCAGAGGGATAAAGGTACCACGGGGATGATTCAGCGGTGAGTGACTTTTTTCCTATTTACAACATTATTGCAGCACCCACCTGCTCTTCAGAAGTACCTCAGAAATCTGCATACAATGCATGCTCACCAAAGATTGGAATGCAAAAATTAAGCATCTAACATGCTAAGTGATATGCCCTCATTAGAAGATAATCATTAAGGCAGTAGTCGCAAGCAGGAGTCTAAAGCTTGAGTCTCACTTGAGTCAGATGGCCGTGAGAACCCTGGACTCTTACAGCTGGAATGGACCTTGGAGATCACGTCAACCTAGTCACATTGCAGGTGGAGTTTTAGGCATTCCTAACACACATCATCTCACTGAACTCATTCATTTATTCAACAAATATGGACGTACCCATATACGCATCATGCTCCATTTGTAGTGCTAGAGGTATGGTGGTAGACAAAATAGACAAAGTCCCTGCCCTCATGAAGCTTCTGTTCCAGTTGGGGAGACTAAAATACATACATAAAATGATGTTGAAATGAGGTAATGCTAAGATGAGGTAAAGCAAGGAATGGGCTATAAATATCTGGAGAAAAAACTGGAAATTCTAGAAAGGGAGGTTTCACATTACTACTTACTTTTTAGGAAAGAGCTTTAAAAAAATGGTGAGAGTGCTATGCAGGTGTCTAGGGGAAGCTGATCACCAGGAAAAAAAAAAAAACAGCAACTACAGAGACCCTGAGCGGGGCACAACCAGCCCATCCAAAGCACACCAAGGAGAGTGGTGTCACTGGATGGGGAAGCAGGGGGAAGCAGGGGGAAGTCAGGGAGGCAAAAGCAGGTGAGGATCCTGTAGGGCCTTGGACATTATAGCCTCAGAGGTCATGGTCCTTTTACTTTAAATAAAAGCCACGGGAGAGCCAAAGAGCGACAGGATCACGAGTGTGTGGTGATGGTGGTAAACAAACCCACTGGCTGCCAGTCATCTACCACTGTGGCACATACAAGTATGTACAGTGCACAATACTTGATGATGATAATAAACAACGATGTCACTGGCTTCTGTATTTACTATACTTTCATCATTATTTTAGAACATACTCTTTTTGCTTATATAAAAAATGTTTGCTGTGAAACAGCATGCTGTGTTATGCCAGCAGCAGCTTTATACATCTGTGTTTACCACGCTTCTTGATTGCATCATTTTCTCCTGTGCTTCATTTAAACTTGCGTTGTCTTGTACAGTCAGATGCTGTGAAGGCTTGTAGTCTGGGAGCAATAGGCTATACCATCTAGCCTAAGCGTGCGGTAGGCCAGACCATCTAGGTTTGTGTAAGTGCACTCTATGATGTTTGCACAAAATTGCCCAAGGACACATTTCTTAGTATGTATCCCCATCATGAAGCAGTGAATGACTACATGTATTTTGAAGGTGAGCTGCAAGGGTTTGTTATTGGACCTAATGTGGAATGTGCAAGAGAGGAGAAAAGGATGAGTCCACAGCTATGGCATGAGCCATAGAGCTAGCATTGACCTAGGTGAGGAAGACCGCAGGAGGCCCAGGTAAGCAGACATCGAATGAAGTCAGGCAGGCAGGCAGCTAGGCACTCAGGACTGCAGGGGGAGGGGCGGGGGGGGCGGTCTGAAGCCTTGAGAATAGATGAGATCACCTACCTAGTGAATATAGATAGAGAAATCCAAGGACAGAGCTCTGGGACACTCCAACATGAAGAGCAAAACAAAAGAAGAGATGTCAACACGAGGCACTGAGGAGTGACAATGGAGGAGAGGATAAAACAGGTGGCCCGGACGCCAAAGGAGGGCAGAAAGGACAAGTGGGTGGAGTGCTGCTGTCAGGCACAAAAAGGCAAGGACTGCGGTGCTATTAGGGGATTCAGCCATTTGGGGGTGATTGGGGGTCTTGAAAAGAGCAGTTTCAGTGGGGCAATGAGGGTGAAAACGTGGTAAAATAATGTTCAAGGCCCAAGGGAGAAGAAAAACTGGAAACAAACAACACGCTTTCCAGGAGGTTTCCTCTGAAGGGAGCGAGGTAAGTGGCAGAGTAACCGGAAAGGGTCAGAAGACCTGGGAGATGGGTGCCGGTGTCACCATCCGCCTGGCCGCTGGACAGGTCCAAACAAGTTGCCCGAGTTGCTAGATTTTGATACAGCGAGAGCAGTTATGATCCCAGAGCTCAGATCCTTGACCTACACTCCACAGCAAAGGAATGAACGCAAGACGTTCATTTATCACTCTATTTATGGGAACTGGCACCAGACCACACCCAAGCAAAGACCAAGTCAGGTTGTGGAATGCTTAAAGAGAACAAGCTGTTCATTTCAATTTAAAATTTTCTATAGACTACCTCTCATATCTAGGGCCTTCTTGTGTTATTTTAATTGGAATTCTAAAAGGAAGAAAATGAGTGTGTTTCCTACAGATGTTCACTTCACGTCGGAGAAAGTCACCCACCAGGTCCATCTTGTCGCGAGACCTGAGCTTTTCACTGGGTGCGTACATGTGGTCATCTACTGCCTCTGGTAAGTTTCCCAGACTTTTTACTTTAGTTTCTGATTTTCCCAAGGTGATGTCTGAATTAGAAGTCAAGAGTTCTGTTCCTATTTCAGTCCCTAACAAGCTGGGTGACCAGTGGACTTCAAATATTCTGTAAAGGTGACCATAACCTCGCCTATGAAACAAGAGATCTAGACAAGTTTATCCTACTGAAACTATAGCATTCTATAGGGGCTTCCTTCATCTTTTCCTTAACTCATTGGAAGCAAAGCCTAAGGCCTTCTTTCAATCCCCACTCTATAATAAAGTGTCGATGGATTGATACGGGCAGTTTGGAAAACGGTCACGAACGTAATGCCACGTTGAGCGTGCGTTTTTCTTTCCATGCTCCACACACGTCGACTTTGATCAAAGAAAACCAGCGTGGCCCTTGCGGGTGTCTTCCCTCGCAGAAACCAACATCCCAGAACATCGCCAACCCCCGCCTCGCCCTCCGCACCCCACATTCCTAACTAACCAGAAAGCGCTCGAACTCAGCAATGGAAAGGTTTAGAGACTTCCTAAGAGAGTCATTTTTAAAGTTTTGAGTCAAGGATCTGAACGAGTGAGGAGACCAGGCAGGGAAGCACCCAGCTTCCTGTCCCGCAGGGACCCCTCATTCTGGGGGCGCGCTGCTCTCTTGGGCCCCGCACCCTCTTCCACAGCAGACCCGCCCAACGCCGGAGTCCAGGCTCCCACAGGAGGTGGAGGGGTCCGGCCGGTACCTGGCGGATAATAACGGAGCAGGAGGCTCTTGAGCTTCATTTTCTCGCTCCGGGACCCCAGGCGGAGCCAATTCGTAGTCATGGAAACGGCCAAACAGCGGCAGGAGGCCGGGGCGCATGCGCGGGCGCCTGGGCCGGCTACCGGGTGCAGAGCTTAGAGCCTGGTGCTGCTCGGGTTGCAGGTGACCCAGGGCGGGAGGGGAGTCCGGCCCAGCGAGACGCGCGCAGGGAGCACGACCTGCCCCCGCCGTCACCTGCGTCTGCCTTTGGGTTCCCAGGGGCAGCCGGGGGCTCGAGCGCGCGGTACCGAAACAGCACTTCCATCCACGTTGCTGCCTCCTGAATCTGCACCCCTGGGTGCCTGGGGTGGGCAGGGACCAGGTCCCCTCGTGTCCTTAGTAAGAGTGACCTCATAAGGGCAGGCGAGCAGCTGGGGACCGCCGGCCTAGGCCACTGCCTGAGCTGCAAACCCTGTAGTCCACTGGGTTCCAAGAAGCAAGGATGGGAGAAAAATCCCTTTGTCATTTTCCATTCCTGGGTCCTCCTCATCCCCTGCCCCTGTGCCCACAAAAGCAAAATGACCTCAGTGTAATAGCCTACATTTGCCGACGTGGGGCCATACACTGTACCAAGCGCCTATACACCTATACTCGCCCAGTCTTAACAAAAGTATGAATTATGCACCATTTATGCCACCCCCATCTCGAGAACGAGACAACTGAGAGTTGGAGAAGGTGAAGAACTACCCCAGGTCTCGGTCAAGTGAGCGGCGGAGGGTGGGAAGGCGGTGCGTCAGAAGCCTACACCTGCGCTCTGGACCCCTGCTCTCCAGGCCTCCGCTTGGCCTGTTCTATTTCTTGCCACCATCATCACTCACTTGCCCGCCCCCTCCAGGGCTCCTCAGGAGGGCCGTGGACAGGGGCAGGAAGAGGCAGTTAGGCAGACCGTCCATTTCCTTGAAGGAATTTGGCCTCCAAATCCCTAAGTAGGAATTTCCCAAACTTAAGCAATTCCTGCACCCAGCTGAGCCTCATTACTTCTCAGAGTCAGAAGGCACTAAAGTTGCCTTACTCTGAGAAAGCAGCGTTCTCTGGAAAAGACAGTAATGCTAGGAAAAATAGAAGGTGGCAGGGAAAGAGAGAAACCACATAAGACTCCATAAAAGAGACCCTAGGCGTGGGTCTACAGGACCTGGGCGGGCCCGTTGAGGACAGGACCCCGTGGACATCATCAGGTTATAGAGTCTCCAGATTTCGGGGTCAACTCTAGGACATATAACACCCTCAGAAGGCCGGAGAGATGAAGGAAATGGGAAAGCCTTTGCTGCCCAGGGATACCAGTGGGCAGCACAAAACTCACCTCATCCCATCAGGAGTAAGCATCCACACCTGGAAAACGGGGAGCCAGGTGGAATCCAAGGTGCTGTGTAGCTCAAACCTCGCCCTAATCATTAAGGCTCTGGGAAAGGTCTAAGGAGGGAGGGGCGCAGAGTTCATCCATAGCAACAAGAGGCTCTTCGGCAGATTTTGTTCACCTATGTGACTGCTTAAGTTCGTGCCGTTTAAAATCAGGCCTATGGGAAAACAGTAACTGTAGAGTGGAGAAATCTGGCAGACACCGTTTAACCATGTGGTCAAATTTAACATCATCAGCACTGGGGCAAACTGACGTGGGTACTACCTGTTACCACGAACCGAAAGGGCACACCAGTCCCCTGAGGTTCCTGCCCCAATGCATTGCCTCCCTGGAATCATGAGGGGACATCAGAGAAAGCCAAATAGAAGAAAGTGTTCAAAATAACTGTCAAAGTCAAGAAAGGAAGGACAGGCTGAAAAACTATGCCAGATTAAAGGACCATAAAGAGATGGGGGGGGACACCTAAGTGAAACTGAGTGATCTTGGGATCCTGACCCAGAAAAAAAAAGTATTAGCTATGAAGGACACAACTGGGACAACTGGACGAAATGGGAATAGGGATCAGAGTTCAGATTATGTTAATATTATAGAAACACAGTTTAAGTTCCCTGATTTAGCTTATTTCTCTTTGGTTATGTAAGAGAATGCCATTCTTTTAAAAAAAAACACCTCAGATCTAGGGAGAAAAGGGTACAATATCTGCAATCAACTCTCAAAGAGTTTTGAAAAAATTATATATGAGTACGATGTGTGTTTGGGAGAGGTGTGAGTAATTGGATAGGCAGATTGATAAGAAACGACAAAGCCAGTAAACAAAATGTTGACTCTAGACAATTTCTTTTGAGAAGTTCCTTGTTCTACTCTTGCAACTTCTCCATATGTTTGAAATTATTCCAAAATGAAAAGTGGACTTTGTTTCCCACAGTTCAGAACGTTATCAGATACAGGTGACAATCAAACTGTTTGGCTCTACTTCTGTTTTCTTAAGAGAGTCCCAAGTTCAAGTTCACTCCCTGTTTCACCCCTAATTAAACCTCCAGCATCCTCTAATTATGGAACCAAGAGTTCCCATGATTATCGACTACCCTTCCCCACTCTTCATTTCTGGGATTTCCCCTACTTCCTTAAACCAAACTCACGGGTTGACCTTTTAATTCTTAAGGAAAGAGTGCCAGCTCTGCAAATTTGGGCATCTCCTCCTTGGCTCAAGAAGCTTAAGGCACGTTCTCCACATGAGTGGTTAAAGAACGTCCTAACTACGTCCCCACTGTATCCAGAGCCCTCCTTATCAACTCTGGGGCACAGGCCCTTGGAGCTGCGGCCCAGTCTTCCCGCAGCCGAGTTCAGTAACCCTCACTTTCGCCTTTACTTGAGAGTATTTATCTGGTTGTGCAAGCACTAGGACTGTCCATTGTTTCCAAAGTTCTCCTCCCAGTTCTCCCCAAGGACCTAGGCCCTTTCTGCCCTTGAATAGGACTCCTGCTGTTCTACCTTGCCAGCCCACAACGCTTGTCACGAGTACCCACTCTGTCCCCCATCCCCTTTTCTAGGAAGGCAGTGGAGCTGTACGCAGATGAAGTGGCAGTCCAAAGAGGAGCAAGTGAAGTTCATGAGTGCAGGCAGATTTCTCTCTTGGCCTTGGTTTAAGTTGAGGTTAAATCCGTGCTTAATTGACTCACCATTGACTCATTTCTGGAAGCTGCTGTGTGAACCTCTCAGCCTGAGTAAATGGTTGTTTCATTCTAAATTGGCCCCAATTTAGTTATGAATGATGTACAGAAATATGCAAAACCAAATCTCCTACATGGCCCAGGTGATGGGCACTCATCCCAGTGCACGGCTGACTGGGAATGACTTCCTCAGGGGGCTACTGCGGAGACCTTCCTCGCACTTTAAATCACTCCATGGCATTCTCTGTCGATCTGACCTTTGACACACTCACTCAACAATTGCCATTCATACGGATTTGTACAGATAAATGGAACATTTCACTCTTGGTTTCTTCCCACTGAGACCTGCCTTAAACAACCTGAAACTAAAAAATTAGCAGCATCAACTTTTCCCCCCCAATCCAATTCATTCTTGTGCATTAAAGCCACTCTGGGCTTCAGTTCTCACGCTGTCTTCTGGGCCAGCCACAGCCTGGGTATCAGCTGGAAACTTGTTAGAAATGCAAATCCTTGCCCCACCCACCACCTACAGAATCAGAAATGTTGGCAGTGAGGCCCAACAATCCTTGTTTGAACAAGCTTTCTGGGTGATTCGCATGAATGGTGAAGTTCGTAAACCACTGCTCTAGTGGAGTAAGTTACATTGGCTTGGCCAGAGCTGAGCAACACCGAGCGCTCTTCCCCTGTGATCAGGCCTTTCGTGTATTCTCAACCGTCTTCCCTGACTGCCAGGGACAGTCAGCTGGTTGCTTAGGCACATCCCTGGATAGGAATGAGACACAGAAAGACTGAGAAGGAAGTGGAATTCCCTAGCTGATTGGGTTTTAGATGCTTCAGTGCACGAGGAGAGACCAGTGGATGCCAGAAGGAGGGAAGGACAACAAGGTCCCTGGGAAGGATAGCTACGGGCTGGGGGACCTCTACAACTGGGAGAAGGAGAGAGGGAAGGGAGGAGGGCCAAGGAAGGGCAGCCAGAGTCAGCCTGGGGGACTCAGGGTCAGCACTGAAGTGGGATGGCAGGGCAGGAGTCCCAGCTGCAGTGGGACTGGATAGTTTCCACGTGACCCAGCTCCTCCGGGAGAGAGCCATGGCATAGATCATTGACGAACCGGGTCACTTGTCTTTGGGGTCCTCATCAAAAGCAGTAGATAGAAAAGAGAGGCCCAGTTCCCTCCTGGAGAGAAAGTTAGAAAGAGGACATCTGGGTGCTCAGAGCCTGACAGGAGAGGTCAGCTGTATAGATATCCAAGAAGAGGGGCTCAGGGGCACAGAGATGCCACATCCCTTTTTTACCTTCTTCCCACGCCAGCCCCCGCCCTGCTGAAGGACTCACAAAGTGTCTGATCTTGCCTGGAGCCAGAAAACAGGTGGGGCCTGGGGACCACTAATTGAATCATTCAATAAGTATGTATCAAGGACTACAAATGCCAAGCATGTTCCAGGTATAAGGTATAAGGGACCTAATTCTAAAATATATATATATATATATATATTTCAGGGAAATCACCTAGAGAAGGAATCAGACTTGACTTCAGGTGGGTTTGGAACTATTGCAGCCATAGAGAGGGACCCCATCTCCAGGTGTGACCACATTTGCATTTCACAGATGGGCTCCTACTAAGACATGTGGGTCACCCTGGCAGGGCCGAGAAACAATAGCTTTTCCAGGTGATCGAATTCCTTAGAGCAGAATACCCGACCTGAAGCCTGGCTCCGCCGTCTACCAGCCCTGCGATCTGGGGCTGAGTTCGAATATCCTATGGCTTCAACCTCCTCATTGGAAAGATATGATTGCAGTTCCCAATTAACCGAGTCCGTGTTGTTGACTCCATGAGTGTTAAGGATGGTGAAGATAACAGTAAGTATTATCTTAAGGTTGCTTGTGTGGAATTGGGGAAAGAGTGTACGCATATTTTTCACATTGTTGCCATTTAAAATGATAATCCAGACCGACAATGACTGTGATAGTCATTCACATGCAGTAGGAGTCCTTTTAATGATATTTGACAACAGGTGTACCTTCCTAGTTATGTTAATTAGTGTGAGAACAATTAGTCTAAATATTAAAACTAGTTTACATTCCTTAAGACATGACTATTTGCCCTGTAGATCTAAATATATCTCCTTAAAAAAATGGCCTGGGAGAACTTAGAAGAGGGGAGAACAATGACGGTTAAGAAGACGTGAACAAGGTTAAAAGAACATGAACAAAGGGACTCGAGGGGGACAGGACACCACCTTCTGTGCCTGGTACACACTTGGTCCTCCATTCATGCTCGACGTTTGAGGGTTTGGGGATCCGTTTAGAAAAGAAAGTAACTGATAATGTGCAGGTAGAGTTCAAGGGTAAGACAGCCAGATATGCCTTGATTGGCGTGGCTCAGTTGTTTGGGCGTCATCTGGAAAACTGAAAGGTTGCAAGTTCAATTCCTGGGCAGGGTACATGTCTCGGTCACCTGTTTGGTCCCAGGTCAGGGCATGTACAAGAGGCAACCAATCAATGTTTCTCTCGCTCTCTTTCTTACTTCTTCCCCCGTCTCTAAAAATAAATTTAAATAATTTTTAAAAGAGAGAGAGAGAGAGTCAGACACATGGAAATGAATTTCAGTTGCACGTGAAGAACTTTGTGCTGTGTGTCCAGCCTGGAACTCGGCTGTCTCCGAAGGTCCTGAGAATTTCCCAGCACAGGAAGCACTTCAGCTGAGGAGGCTGGATCACTGCAGAACACAGCGTTAAACTGGATGAGAGACAGGACAGGGTGAGAGGCCTAACTTCTTTTTTGATGCTACGACTCCATAATTTTGTACTGTCTGTGTTTTCACAAGAGAATAAATGTGGGAAGGCGAACAGCAGTGGATTGCATGCTGGAAGATGGAAGTTCCTGTCCTGACCTTCTCATCACTGACATTTAACTTTTGGTTACTCATCAGCAAATCATCGTCTTTCGTTCATTCATCTCTCACATAACACACAGCCAACTTATTCATGCTCTGGGCTGTTATTCTTGTTACTCCTTCCATCTGATAAGCCTCCCACGCGATCCATTCATTCTGAAGTCTTACCAAGGCAAGGATTACCTTCTCCACATGCTCAATTCAGTTTATGCAAGTGTATGGGGTAGGGGAGGGTTTCACACCTCAGACTCTGAAATACCCCTACTGGGCCTTTCCTGCCTCAAGCCCCCATCCAGAAGACGGCATCTGACCCCTTTCTGGTAAGTGCACTTGAACCTGTGCCTTTGGAAAAATTACAAAAAGTGTCACCTGTGGATGGCAGGATTCCAAAAGGTGTCCCTTCACCCTTCCAGGGCCTCCAGACTTAAGAGGGCACTTCCGGAGCTGGCCGGCCCAGGTTTCTCCCAGCTCATTCTCCCTGGCAGGGCTTATTGAGCTGCCCAGACTGGCCGCCAAGCCCAGCGGGCCACGATGGTCCCCCACCCTTGTCCAGGGGCTTACTGATCCTTCTATAGTGTTGTTCCCACAAAAGCCTTTACCCCTCTCACCTTCCCCATCTGGTTCATACTCTGTTTCCAGTGCATTTGCTTGCAAGTTGCTTTTCAGTTCAGAAGAAGTGGGGGAAAGATGGTGTGACGTGTGATTAGGGTAGACTTTCCGAGAGTTAAACTGATGATGCTGTTGGCGACTCTGTCCTCTTTAGGAATGGAGCATGACCTTGGAAGGACACAAAAATGAGTCAGAGGAGTTTGAAGTTTGCATGCTATTCTGCCACTTACTTAGCAAAGTCACCTTTAGAACTTCAGTTTGCTCTGCTTACAGTGGGGACAATAACAGTAGCTGCCTCATGGGATCCCCGTACAGATTAAATGACGTAAATACGTGCCGTGCACCATATACCCCTTGATGGTTCCGGCACCCTAAAAATCTTTAAACATTATTATACTGCAGCTGTCTACCTTGGCAACTGAATTACCCAACTCTGGAATACATGGTTTGCACAGTATATCTAAGTATCTAACCACTTCAGAGGATTTTGGCAGTCCAGTCATCGTGGTTACTTGGCTGCTGGCTAGCCCACTGGCAGTAGGGGACAGCAGTGTACACACGTTACATCTCTGAGCTGTAACACTTGCTCCCTCCCAAAGCCCAGGGCCAGGCCAGACAAAGGAGTTCAAGGCCTGCACGGTGTCACAGGCCTCCCTTCCAGTTTCCTGAAACTTGTTCTTGAAGGTCATTGCCCCGACATACCAAAACAGTAGATAAGACAGATTTTTGTTTACCGTTTTATAATTTTGTAATTACTTGTTGAGGTTTTGTAATGCAAAAGTATCTTTCTCTTTGCTCTGAAAGAATATCCAAAATTGGCGAGCTAGATGTCTTTATTGTTTTCTACTGCATTTAACTTTTCTTATGTGTTGCTGCTGTGTTCTTCACCATAATTTACTATATTTGAAAGAGGATTTTAAAAAACCATTATTTTTTGAATATATGATAAAAAAGGGATAATTATAAGTGACATAGCTGTAAGAAATCAAAACATGTGGTGTGAATAGCCCTGCTAATGACACACAAATTGCTAGCAGTGGGACAATGATCATTAACATTTACTGAGTGCTAGGTTTGCGCCAGGGCTGTTTGTATACGTGTATTATACCAATTATTATCTGATTTCATCTTCACAAAACCTGTGTGAAGCAAGGACCATTGTCCCCATTTAACAGATGAGAAACTGAGACCCGGAGAGGGGGGACAGCTTGAGCTTCCCTCTCCCTGTTTCGGGCCTTTTTATTTTATTTTACTTTTTTAAAAGATTTTATTTATTTATTTTTAGAGAGGGAAGGGAGGAAGAAAGAGAGAGAGAGAGAAACATCAATGTGCGGTTGCTGGGGGCCATGGCCTGCAACCCAGGCATGTGCCCTGACTGGGAATCGAACCTGCGATGCTTTGGTTTGCAGCCCACGCTCAATCCACTGAGCTACGCCAGCCAGGGCGGGCCTTTTTATTTTTATAGTAGGATTTTTGTTTTGTTTTGTGTTTTAATTACAGTTGACGTAAAATATTATAGAAGTTTCAAGTGTGTGTTTATGGCCTTTTTATATTTCTTAAAGATTTTATTTATTTATTTTTAGAGAGAGGGGAAAGGAGGGAGAAAGAAAGCAAGAGAAACACGGACACAAGAGGGAAACATCATCTGCACCCTCACCAGGGACCACGCCCGCAGCGCGGTAAGGTGCCCTGACTGGGAATCAAACCCGCAACCCTTGGCTTTGCGGGGTGACACCCCACCAACTGAGCCACACTGCTCAGGGCTGTTGATGACCTTTTTAACTAGTTCTTTTATTTAACCAACTATCTTGCTCGCCTGTTAGCCTAAAATTGTTTTTAAAGTTTAAAATTCGATTCTCTCCTACCTTTCCTTTTAAGAATGCAGCACTTTCGTGGCAAATGAAGACCTGCGCAGACAGCTTCACTGAGCCCAGGGAGTCAGCGGGGCCGCGTGGCACACGGTCCCTGCGGGACGCGCGGGGTGCTGTCTAGCAAACCCGGACGAGCATGGCGTGGCTGTCGCTCAGCCAGGATTTTGACTTCACATGCGTCTATTGAACGGAACACAGGGTTGCCACAAAGTAATATTTTAAAACAAACACAGGAAAATCACCCCACTGCAAATCCATGTGGTGACATCCTAATGCCCAGCGTGATGGTGTGAGAAGCGGGGTCTTTGGGAGGTGAGTGGATCGTGAGGGTGGAGCCCCGGTGAATGGGATTAGCGTTCTTATAAAAGAGGCCCCAGAGGGAGGTCTTGTTCTCTCACCCCGTGTGGGGACATGTCTGCAGCCTGGAAGAGGGCCCTCACCCAACCACGCTGGCTCCCTGCTCTCAGACTTCCAGGCTCCAGAACTCTGGGAACTGAACGTTCATTGTTTGGAAGCTTCCCCATCTGTGGTATTTCGTTATAGCAATCTGAGCAGACTGAGGCAAGCATCACCATGCCATCCGAACAATGTGGCTTCTGAACAGGGGATGGTGTCCCTGCTCAGGAATTAGGAAGTCACAGGGTTCCCTGTTCTGCCCACAGCCTCACCACCTGGGAGCCACGGGCCGCAGAGCACCAGTTCCAGGGTTGGTGGGAGACAATACTTGGTCAGATCCGGGTGTGTCAGCCCTGACATGGTTATTCGCTCCCAACCAGCAACCACAGTCAGAATACATTGTTTGGGGATCCAAAAATGGAAATACAGTGGTATCTCTCAACATTCCATCTAATAATTCATTCACAAAAGGTGAAAAGTTTGATTATCTTCAGTGCTGCTGGTTTAGAAGTCTGAGATGCCACAGACACGATTATTCCACCATCAGAGTCCACCTTGTTCCCATAGCTACGAACTGCCCTTTGCCCATTTCAGGCTCCTTGCGTCCCTGCATAAACAGGGGACAAAGGAGGGTTACCACTTTCACTGGGGAGATTAGAATGGTTACTAAGGGGAACTGGAGTTGCTGTTGAATTAGGCAGACAATGGGAGAATAGTCCTCAAACCAAGAAATCCTATGGGGTTGTCCCATATCATGTCGTGTCAAGTGGAAAAAGTCACCGGGAGACCAGGGGAACCAATACCACAAGGACCTCACTAAGACTCGTGCCCTTCGTGCGTGAAGGTTGAGTTATTCCCTGAATAAAGAACCGTAACCTGCCGAGGCCCTGGCTGAGGCAAAGAACTGGCAGTGGAGTGAAGAAGCTATAAATAACAAACACTAAATGAAGCCTCATGATCAGCTGTAGTTGACATATTTCTTCTCTCCAAGCTGTGTCATATCTTCGTCTTTTTCCATTTTCCCTCTTGCTTTACAGAGAGACAGTTTATCATTGTGTCCACAGGTTGGACTGTAACAGTACAAGATCGTAATTAAACTAAAGAGGGGAAGACAAGAGCCAGGGATGAAGGCTGCAACTGATGACACTTTGGGTCTCTGCTTTGGAAGTGAAGTTGCATGTATTCCCATTTGCATGAGGGTTGATTTCGCTATAATAATGAGAGCATTTTTGTGGTCGTTATTGCGGTTTGAAAGTGAAGTCCTGGAAGAAGGGTGTTCGCTGTTGTCAAGTAGCCAAAGGTGAGACTGTGGCAAAATCTGATACTGGCTTCACCCAGGCTATTCCAAACCCTTGTGCTGGGCCCTGATGCAAGCTGGAGGCTGAGAAACCAAAGACTACCTTTCCCAGACATCCTTCCAGCACAGATCTCCCATGTGACCTTGCCACCCCAGCCCTCTCTAAAATAGAATGGGAGAAGCAGTGGGGAGGCCCAGATCTGGGCTACGTTTTCAGCTGCAATAGAAATTTCAGGAGTGTTGGAGTAGAAAGATGGGAGTTTGAATCCTGCCTCCAGGTCTTATGAGAATGTGGGTAATTTCCCGGCCTTCTCAGAGCTGAGCCTCAGCATCGCAGATGCATACTAATAACCCACTATGGAAAACTTGTTACAGGAAATAAGTAAGATCGTGAGTGTAAACCCCCTGACAGAGCACCTGGCACATGGCATCAGATGTTGGTTCCTCATTCCTTAACAACTGAGAGATCTACCTGTTTAGCAGTTTGGTAATTCATCCAATCTTTCCCAGAGGTATAATGAGTGAAAAAAATATATATGCCACATTGTGAGAATGATAATAAAAGAATTTGTGATGTTATCTCATGGGGCACGAAGCCAGAAGAAATATCGCTCCAACTGGGGTCTGATTTCTTTTGGGGGGTGGGAAGTTATCTGAGCAAAACCCCGCTTTGAACTCAGGGCCAATGTCACGCCGGAACCTCTGGACCACATCACTGGTTCAGCAGGTATGCTTGTTAAGTCGTTCACAGGTGACCACGCCAGGGTTTCTGTGCAGCCCCTGCTACCTGCACCGTCACGGGTTCTTTCTCTTTTGAAGCAGGAAGTGCTATTTCATACACAACAATCACCTCGAGTGTTCTTTTTTTTTAGTGCTTTTCAAGTTAAAATTCCTAAATATGTTATTACATGCTCTCCACTTTCATGTTAAAGCAGGACTTATTTGAAATGATTGTTCTTAAAATTCACCCATGACTTAACCTTCAGAGGTCAAAAGAATAGAAATTCAAACTGTGTTTCTCCACAGTGGAAAGCACCACTTTTAAAACAATGAAGTGAAGTTAGCTTTCAGGGCTGTCTGTCCTGCCGAGCTTATTTTTCTAGAAGTGCTTCGCACCTGACAACCCGGAGCAGAACAAGAAAGCCATTCATTATCCGGTAACAAAATACACAGTGCGTGATCTACTTTCTATGACAAACTGCTCAGTACTTCCCAGCCCAAGGTGCAGGGAGGAAGTTTACCTTTGAGGATGGGTTTAGACAAGAGAAGGAACCCATTTTCTTTCAGTAAAATATTTCATTGGCCTGACGAAAGTTCTGTGTGATACTTAAATATCTGCACACTGTGTTTATTTAATCTTTTTAGTATGATGAGGAATAAAGCAATGAACAGATATTTAAGTATATACCCATGTAAGTATAGTACTTAGATATTATTTAATAAATGTGTTGATTCCACCCACTTATTAGTGGATAACAAGAAAGAGGCAAAGGGAAGAATAGAGGATAAAAAAGAGAAAAAAATAGCTAAAACAGGCAGTTATAGAGGAGAGAAAAGGAGATATTAAAAGAATAAGAGAGGGCCCTGGCTGGCGTAGCTCAGTGGATTGAGCACGGGCTGCGAACCAAAGAGTTGCAGGTTCGATTCCCAGTCAGGGTACATGCCTGGGTTGCAGGCCATGACCCCCAGCAACCGCACATTGATGTTTCTCTCTCTCTCTCTCTCTCTCTGTCTCTTTCTCCCTCCCTTCTCTCTCTAAAAAATAAATAAATAAAATCTTTAAAAAAAAGAATAAAAGAAAAATATAGGGCATATGAACAAAAGGAGAGAGGATGAGGTTAACTCTAAAATATAATAGGAAACACAGTGCTAAATAACCTGAATCAGACTCCTAGGTCCTGGGAGCAAGTGATCATAAGCATAGGTGACAAGCTGTTTATTTCCAGCTTCCCTAATCGCCAAGTGGGTGTGTTCACCACCGTACCCCTGACACCTAACCCCGGGACAATAAACCCTTGTTCAGAAACCCTCACTCACAGCATGAGGGATCGTCACAGAACCACGGAAGGTCAAGTTGCCAACACCTTGGACGGTTCCCACCTCCAGAGAGTCATTGTTCAGTCTATCTAGGTTCTTTCCAGCAATAGAGAATACACTTCCCTAGGCTTCTAAGGTCATCTTTCTTCCAATAAGACAAACCCTCACCTGTGTCCCCTACTCTGGAGCCTGGACCCAGCAAGTCTAACCTGCCGGTCTTTGACGGGACAGCCCAGCAGAAGCCCAGTGTCCTTCAAGGCCACCTTGAAACTGCGCTGGCCCCCCATGCCATCGTCTCCAGCGCCCTTTAGAGTACAGCCCTTCCCTCTGACAACATTTCCCCCTTGTTCCTTCTCCTGTTCGAAATATGGCTCATCCCCTCGGCACAGTCTGAACAACACCAAGGAGAGGGGCTGTTCCTGCCCTTCCTCTAGAGATCACACGTCGAATCTGTACCTGCAGGTCAAACGCCTTTCCTTTGAGCAGCCACATGGGAGTAGGAGAGACCGCCACAGTTCACAGGCCTCACACTCATAAATCGGTTCCCTTGTCCTTCTCCGGGAACACAGCTCTGGGAGACTGTCGGAACAGGAGGAGGAAGTCTGGCCTGGGCCAAGTCTCAGCTTCCTTCACGCACCAAGTGCACTTTTCCTTCCGAGCCTGCTGTGAGCAAGGGCTTCCGTGGCCTCACTCTCACGGCCAGCGTTGCAAGCCCCGACATCAGCTGCCCTGCTTACCACTCTTCCTGCAAACCCTTTCCCAGCCTAACTTCTCCCTCCCGCACAGCATTCTGGTCAGGTGGGTGGGTGCAGAGCCAGGCTGCATCACCACCCAACTGCATGAGGATAGGCAATTGAATTAACCTTTATTCCCTCTCTTGTACTATACCAGTGCCGGGCTCCTGGTGTCCTTATGAAACAGCAATACGTGCAACCCCCTAGAGCAGGACAAGGCACTCTGCAAGTGCTTAGGAAATGCTAGCTAGCATTCTAACGCTTACTCTGGCTCTGCCTCCCACATGATTCATAAAGTCACACCAAGGGGTGGCTCACTGTCGTCTTCAGTGTCACATGCAGGATTCCTTAATACTGGGCTCCTAAAATGGTAGGCAAAATTATGCGGCATACGAGCATTATTTTCCCCTGTAATTCCCAACATTGACCACACGTAAGAATCATCTAGGGAGCCTTTAGAAACTACTAAAGCCCTGGCTCCCTCCTCCACCAGATATTCTGATGTAAGTAGTCTGGGTGAGGCCTAGGCATCGCTCCCCACATTAACACAATGGGCAGCGTGGGTGGGAATCACTGACGCACAGCAAGGCTCTTAATGAGGGTGGGCCTCAGACCACTTGTGGTGTTAAAAAATATACACGCCAAGACACCCGTTCCAGAGACTCTGATCCCATAGGTCTGAAGCGGGCCGCATACCTACCCATTTCTAAAGCTATGCAGGTAATGCTGGTGTGCTTTGGGGAACCATCAGTCCCCAAATCCGTGTCGCGTGTACAAGGGTGCAGAAGACGGGTCGGCACCCAAGCAGTCGTGTGAGATGAGATATCCTTGAGGGATGCCACTTCCCCTGGTCCGGACTGCTCTTATCTAGACCCAGGTGCTGGCACTCAGCTCGGGGCCAGCCCTGGGCAGGAGGGGCTGAAGTCGGGGGGTGGGGGGAACCCTGCAGCCTCTGGCTCTCTCCTCCCTGATCCGGCAAATCACCGCCCACAGCAGCTGTCACTGAGAATAAGAAGCAGGAGAAATGGTTGGAGTCACAAGTCCCCTTCTTTCTCTCTATCCAGAATGTTTTAGACTGAGTGGAAGTTGCATTTATTTCTGTCAACGTATGCCTGTGAGAACAGACTTTCAATGCCAACTGATCCAAATTAAATCTAGGAAGAAGTACGATAGTGTCACTTCATTTCACACCACACCAAAGATAGATGTGCAAATTGACAAGCTTGCAAAGCGAAAAAGGATACACTCACAGTTAAACAGTTGTGTTGTATTTATTTTTATCTGTCTACGGTCTTGAACCTACTCTCTCACTTAGAACACACGTTCAGATGAACAGCAGGACTGCACTCCCTGTGCTTCCTTGAGATAAGTCTTCATTATTCTGAAACTGCTCTTCCCCTGTGTGTGGTGCGAAGATATTTTTTCTTTAATGAAATGGTGGCATATTTTTTTTTGTTCATTTGTTTTTAATGCCCTTGCTTTGAAAAATAAAGAATTGCTAACTCTATGTTAGTCGACCCCCTTTACAATAAATCTCCCACCTCCTTTGTTAAAACCAACCTATAAAGTCACAGAGTCTGGGAGACAGGTAATTTCTGCAAAGTGCTTTTCAAAGTGCTTAAAGAATATGCAAACATACAAAATACTTAAATAATGTACAAACATACCAAGCATACAAAATGCTTAAACAATATGCAAACATACAAAGTATACAAAGTATTTAGCCAATATATACATATACAAAGTACTTAAACAACATACTAATATACGAAGTATATAAAGTACTTAAGCAAATAGTATTAAATCCATTTTTACAATAACACTAATAGTACTAAATGAGTATCTCCAAAATTTTGGCATCTTAACAAACGTCCCAGATGTTTCTTATGTATGGAAATATGACAACTCACCTAGAACTATTACATTGTTTAGAGGGCAATGTAGTTATTCAAATGGATCTATACCTAGCCATACACCATAATGAAAGAAAGGACAAAATAATTAAGTGTTTTTGAGAGTGGAAACTAGCAAATTTGAAAAGCGCTCTTTTGGAAAAACGAACAAAGCAAGGAAGAGGATGTCGGATGGACGGGGAAACAGACGGACAGATGAACAGATGGATGGAAGAAAGAAGGGTAGTAGGGTAATTGATGGAGGAAGAATGGGGGATGGAGAAAGGAAGAGCAGGAAGAACTGGGAAGAGGGAGACAATCAACTGAAGAGGAGAAAGAGGAAGAGAAAAGACAAGAGCGTGTGGACAGCTTCAGGGGAACAATGTTGAGGGTTACTCTACAAATGGATCAAATGGTGGTTGTGTCCCCGGTTTCCTCATTTGAAAAGGAGAAAGTTGGCTCTGATGAGCCCCGATACCCTCCCCAGAAAGGGCACTGTCTGTGACGTATGGGGTAGACAGCGCCCCTCGCCTATTTCTGCTGCCTCTTTTATTATTGCGTCCTCACTTCTCCAGCCCTTACGTACATTTCCGGAGCCTAAATGAAGTTCGCCTGTCCTTCCCTAGTTGCTCAAAGAAGAAAATATGTCGCAACTGAAATGAGCTGAATGTCACCGAAGCAAACCGCTAGGGGCATGCAAAGAGGGGTCTGCCAGTCAGCCCTCCCACTGCCCGGTGAAATCCCCGGTTTCTTTCCAGTCCTGTGTGGACCCGCAGTGCAGCCTCTCTCACCGGCTCCAGCAGTTCCTGTGAGCATCTCTGAAAAGCTAGAAAAGAAACCGAATATAGAAAATAGTGCAAACTCTGAATATGATGAAAGGAGGGCGGTTTCTAGGTTTCCGTTTAAAAA